GGGCTAGTAAATGTAACTCAAATAAGCCAAAAAACCCACTAACTAAATGGAATACTATACAGGGTCCAGCAACAAACAGTACGCCGAGCATCGATAGAGGTCGTTTATTCAAGAACTTAAGGATTTTATTGCACAGACGCATTAAGTGCAGACCTAAACTCTGTATAGTTTGTCCAACTAGAGGGTACATGGCAGTGACAGTTATGTGAGTCATTTTAATCCACAAGTAAATTGTACTTTCTGTCATGTTTTGGATATCGTCTGTCCAAATTTTCACTAACACGTTGAAGAGATCTTACTGAATACAAGAGAAGAGCATCGCCAGTCGATGGCCTAGAAGGCGCAGTAAAACAAAATCCTCGTTTTTTTTGCAAATTTCTCGAAAACTTTACCCTTAAGGCAATTTTTTAATCTCTAGCTTACGCTCTGCCCACCCTTAGCTACGCTCTTGCTGGAACATATTTCACGAAAATATATTCACTTGTATACAGGATATCTAAAAAAAGTGCGAGTGTAAAGTATTCCATTCTTATCACTGTAGAAGTTTTGATAGTTCCAGAGAAATAAACTAACCAAAAAAATATATACATTTACAATATATTTTAAAAAATAACTAAAAACCTACAAATTGACGCCTTGAAGTTAAAACTATACTCAGTGTTTACAGTTGGTTCACACTAACTTTATCATGAATATCGTAATCGTACATTGTACAGGGGGTTCAAAATTCGATGCCGAATTTGCTAAAATTTCTTATTTTTTAAAAGGAACGCACTGAAATATTGACACGACTTTTTCACCTAATAGTTTTTTGCCCTGTATTTTACTGTTAAAAAACCCAAGAAAAATTACTGTATATTTAACCACCTTCATATTAAACGTTGAGCACCCTGTATAGTTATAACATTTATAATCGTTACGACAGACCACCTGTAGTAAATACCAAGCATTGTTTCTATTTCAAGCCTTGTATTTTTAATTTTTTTTAAAATACAACATGATCGAAAAAAAAACCGCGTCAGCGATGGCTGTTAATTATATGGGAAATATCGATGTTCATTTCCCAGCCAACTGGACGCCGTTTTTTTTCGGTCATACGGTATATGTATAGAGTTTTCAGAAATATTTAGTGCGATACCTGCAAGTTTCCCTATTGAAGGTAGAAGACAACTTTAAATGCAGGACATGTAAGGTTTTACCTGAATCGCCAGAGAGTGAAATAAAAATAAACAAAAGACGATCAGAATTATTCTAAAAAATTGTATAACTTAATTTTTTATCGCACTAAATGTCTCTGAAAAACCTGCATCTATATTTTATGACTTATTTCTCTTGAACTATCAAAACAAGTTTAGTGTAAAAACGTGTAAAAGAGGGCCATTTAATACATCCACCCTTTTTTCAGACACCCTATACAACTGAACATAATTTCCTGAAATACGACCTAGTGCACGTTTATGGTCTGCACTTAAAATTAACTTAAGACGCTTTGTTGCAGGACCCTGTATATTTTTACTGTGGTTATCAACACTGTCTATGCCATAGGTCTATGCCAATTAGACAAAAAGCCTATATCGAAATACAGGGCGACCCGGTATATTAAAAAGACCTAATATAAATTTTTCTGTTTGCGATTTTCACCCCAATTTTTTTTTACAAATGTGGCCAATGGTAGCGCACATGTTGAAAATATTTTTACACATGTACTGGGTGATACAAAAATATTTTTGCACTAATATTGTAGTTTTCCCTTAAAACTAAAAAAAAATTATCTATAATAATTTATAGAGCTCATACTTTTTGTACCATTTTTGTTTAAGATTTTACTATTAATTTAAACTGAGTTATTTTTTAGATTTATATCGTTGGATAAGGTTGGATAATAAAGTTAAAAATTATTTTTGACTTCAATTAGATTTGATATAGAAGCACGACATAGATTTTCAGACATTTTTAAAACTTGTATTGTCCAATTTTCTAAATAAAATAAATACATATAGTTTTGAAAAAGACATTATATACTTCAATTTGAAAAACAAAATAATAGTGATGTTATTTAAAATTTGAAAATTTCTATAGTAAATCTACAGAGCAAACAAAATATAAACATTAAGTGTAAAATTATAGTAGAATCACCGTGTAATATCTATTAAAACAGTTTGCAGGAAAGAATGAGGAAAAAGATAACTTGATTTGAAGATTTTTCGGTATACTGGATCATCCTGTATACAGTATATATTGTAAATTATCATATAAAATTAAAAAAAATATATTACAATTATTTAATAAAAGAAAAAAAATTATAAGATGCAACTGATAGTTGTTGGAGGTTTTAAAAATATTTTTTAGAAAATATAGGCAACCAACAAATCATCTTAACTTACAAGAACCCCAAAAAAAAAATTTAAAAGTTTGATAACCACAGCAAATAGGGCACAATAATATTTATAATCAATATTAGGTGTATTCAATCAAATCGAGGAGTGTTTTATCTTTTTTTCTTTTAGCACAATCAAAAACATCTAAAAATTAGAGCAACAAAACCAATAATATTATAATTTAACAATTACCTTACTCTGCAAATTAAATGATTTAATTAAATATTTGTACTGAAAAAAAAACACCTTATATTGATTATATTACATATAAAAGCAAATTGTAATATTAAGAAAAATGCGACAGTTAAGTTTTACATAAATACAGAACAATTAGAAACAACTGCAAAACAACAATTAGATGTACATGTTGCATCCATATATTTATTAACAAAATATAATTTAATATTAATTATACTGTACTTTATTATTAGAATAGAATTAAAAATAAATAAATATATATTTTTTATTAACTCTGTTTTTTTATTGCTATTCTGATGAGGTAATTTTCAATATTTTACAACGATCTAAATTTTGTATTAAGAAACAAGGTAAGTAACAATAAGCTAAAAATATTAAGTACCTAAAAAAATGTATTAGCGAAAAAATTAATCTAAACTGAAATAAGAATGATTATAATATTTAAATAATTAACGTTAAATCAACAAAATGAAATATTCAAAAAAAAAAATAATGATTGAATTTTTATCCGACTTTATTTAAGAAGCGTTTGCAAATAACTTGTTAAATTTTTTTGAAACAAAGTTTTTAAGTTGAAATATGACACAAAATATTAAAAAAGAAATGCTATAATAAACAGATGGTGCCCCATGTACTTCTAGTTAGTTAACTACAAAACCTCAGGTAAGAAGAGTGAATATGAAATAAATGCGATAATAAATATTATTTAAAAAAATAACTGGTTAAAATAAATTAGTTTCGCTCATTTTATATTATGGCGAATGCACTAGGCTATCATAGAATATATTTAGTTAGATACAACACGAAATATTCAACTAAACAACTAACTGTCTGTAAAAAATAAAAGAATGTGTAATATATTTTTGATATAAAAAATGTATATTTACTTTAGTATACAGGGTGTCGCGTTTTAAAAACATATTCCATACCAATAACATTAAAAAAATTGACAACTTATAACATTTTTGCACTGTTAAAATTAAAAAGCATGTGTGATAATCTTTAAAATCAGAAAAAATGTGCTATTTAATACACTCCTAATATACAGGGTGTCTTATTTAAACATTAAACATGTTTATACCAATAACTGTAACAATTGAGAGCTTATGACACTTTTGCTAATTTAAAATTAAAACTTGACCAAAAAAATTAGGACAAACAGCAATGTTATAGGTATGTAAAAAATAAAATAAAGTTGTTAAGTTAATTTCTATTATGTTATGACAGATGCGCTAGATTTTAGAATATACAATAAAAATCGGTATTAGCGACTGTTTCATGACACACCTTGTACAAGTCTTTGTTGAATGAAATGCGCAACTAAAAATGTCAGTCCACGTGTGCAAGCGTTTTTACGACATATTATTCCTATTTATTTATTATCGAATTTGTTCCATTTCGGTGTATTACAATTATTACATTATTATTATTACAAATACATACAAAATGGCTTACGTTATATAGTCTGTTCAACGAGCCGAAGAAGATTTTGACAGAAGATATCCTTAAAAATGACAGCAAATACACTTTACCTGTTAATTAAAATAACAAACACAACTGTCACTGTCAGGGATCCTCTCGTTGGATAGACTATTAAACATGCCAAAAAAAATATATGAACACAAGTATTAACAAAATGGATTATTTTACTAAAAATAATCATTCCAGAACTTATAAAAAATGATTAAATCGACCATTAAACTATTAAATTATCATCTGATCGTAGATATAGTTAGATAGATTCCATAAAATTTAGTTTATGTTAATACAATAAATAAAATATTAAAAAATATAAACTTTAGAACCAAAATAATACTTGTGTTCATAGAGTTATAGTGACGCAGCTGCGCAAGTATAAAATTTATTATTTTGATAATCCGAAATAAATGAGTAGCTTAGGAAATTATAAATAGTATAAGACAAAAATAATTAAAGAACTACTACTATAAATAATTGGTATTGATACAAATTAATAAAGAATGTCTTTAATTCTATTAAAACAATTTAATTAATAATTACAATATCTAATGACCTTTAATGAATGCAAAAATAAAAGATAAATGAGATTGAAAAAAGACTTAAGAGATGAAAAATTATAACAGATTACTATTACATTGCTCAACATATTTTTCATAAAGATTAATGCATAGATTTTAATGATTTAAAATTAATCAAACATGCCTCAAACTAGAGGCAATTAGATAATAAATAGAGCATTAAAATAAATAAATATAAAGGCAATATAAACAGAGATAATGGTCCTATTTATAAAATAAACTATTGTTCTTAACTAGTGTTTTATTTTGCAAAAGTTTAAGAAAAAAAAAAGATTTCTGTCCAGATTATCAAAATTTTACAAAAAATTAACATTAAAATGACGCCTGATATAATTATATAGTAAGAAGATAAAAACAAATAAACAAATTTATTGAAACAATAACACTATTAATGAAGCTAACGAACCTTGGTGAGGCATTGAGGAGTATTGAGTCTGCTTTATGTTGAGTGAAAGAGGAAAGTGTGAGGAGTAGGAGAAACTGTTGATATCCATTGTTAAGAAAATGCGGAGATATCTAAAAAGCAAAATAAAAATAATATTAAAAAAATGAATAAAGCGATCTATGTAAAAATTAAAATAAATATATTTTTATTAATGCAATAACTATGTTATTTTAAATTATTAATTTGTATATACCCTATGAGAAAAAAAAACAGCATCATAATGGCTTTTAAAATAACAATTGATGACAATTATTTCTGCCAGGTAGACCACAATAATATATCATTTATAAAAACTTGGTATAAAAACTTGTAAAAAATCAAAGAATAAAAAGTTAAAAAAATTCAAAGTTCATATTTTTTTAAGTTAAGGTTTGAATAATAATTGGAATGTTTGAAAGCTTTTTCCTTTTTTTTAAATTTCAATATTATTTTTGACAAGGTTTTATATCAATTTTTAATGAATTACATAAAGAAATAGACGTTAAAAAATTTATATTAAAAAAATATATAACTATGTAAAAAGTAAAATAAATATATATTTTTATCGGCTTATATTGACATTGATTTGGCAAGGCCTAAAAAGTATAAATATGTAAACGAATTCAAAAAGTACGTCCTTCCTTAAATTAATAATTTATATATACTCTGAGAAAAAAATCAGCATCACAGTGACCTTTGGAATGACAAATGATAAAAATTTCTACCAGGTAGGCCACGATATATATCATGCAGAAAAAATTGTCATAAAAACTTATCAAAAATTAAAGGATAAAAAAATTAAACGAAAGCAATGTTTATATATTTTTATGAAAACCTTTGCATAATAATCGGTATGTTTGAAAACTTTTTACTTTGTTACATTTAAATATTACTTCTGACAAATTTTTATATTAATTTTTAATAAACGACATATAGAAATAGACGTTGGCCTCATAGACTTGTGCAGCTTGAATATTATGAAAACTTATCATAATTTTCAAGCTTCTCAATGAAATTTAAAGAAAAAAGAGATAAATAACTTACCAGTGTTGAAGGACTGCGACAACACACTAACAGCTATTAAGTACAGTCCTAAATGGTCTTTCCGAGTCTTTTCCTGGAAGTTTCATTCCATTTAAAGCTTTTGGCTGTCCACCATAATATTTGCAAATAGTACGGCTTGTGGATTTTTAACAGCAATAATTGTCCCATCTTATACCTAAAGTTCCAAAAAAAATATAAAGTAAATTTTTACTATACTAATTTTTGAAGATTTTTGAAAACAAGATTAATAAAAAACAAAACAAAAAAGATTAATCAAAATTATATTTATTAAAATATATATTTATGGCGTTTATTCTACTGGGAACTTTAATATATCGTCAAGGTGTGTGTGACGAGTTCTGTAATTTCAAACCAAACAGTTTTGAATAGCGAATATTGACAATTTGGCGAAGGATTTTTTTAAAAAGTTAATTGCGTGTTGTAATTTGTAATCAGTATAAATTGTGAGAAAATAAATGCGTTAAGTATTTTATCGTGGTGTAAATTAGCGGACCCACGGAATCCGTAACAATATGCAACCAGTAATACAGTATCAGCATTTTATTTTGTCCCGCCTATTTTTAATAGTTGTTGGCTGTTTTAATATTGGAACAAAAGCGCTCCAATATTAGAAAAATTAAAAAAATTTCAAGCTGTCAATCAATAATTGTCCCATCTTATACCTAAAGTTCCAAAAAAAATATAAAGTAAATTTTTACTATACTAATTTTTGAAGATTTTTGAAAACAAGATTAATAAAAAAACAAAACAAAAAAGAGTAATCAAAATTATATTTATTAAAATATATATTTATGGCGTTTATTCTACTGGGAACTTTAATATATCGTCAAGGTGTGTGTGACGAGTTCTGTAATTTCAAACCAGTTTTGAATAGCGAATATTGACAATTTGGCGAAGGATTTTTTTTAAAAAGTTAATTGCGTGTTGTAATTTGTAATCAGTATAAATTGTGAGAAAATAAATGCGTTAAGTATTTTATCGTGAGTGTAAATTAGCGGACCCACGGAATCCGTAACAATATGCAACCAGTAATACAGTATCAGCATTTTATTTTGTCCCGCCTATTTTTAATAGTTGTTGGCTGTTCTAATATTGGAACAAAAGCGCTCCAATATTAGAAAAATTAAAAAAATTTCAAGCTGTCAATCAATAATTGTCCCATCTTATAGCTAAAGTTCCAAAAAAAATATAAAGTAAATTTTTACTATACTAATTTTTGAAGATTTTTGAAAACAAGATTAATAAAGATTAATAAAAAACAAAACAAAAAAGATTAATCAAAATTATATTTATTAAAATATATATTTATGGCGTTTATTCTACTGGGAACTTTAATATATCGTCAAGGTGTGTGTGACGAGTTCTGTAATTTTAAACCAAACAGTTTTGAATAGCGAATATTGACAATTTGGCGAAGGATTTTTTTAAAAAGTTAATTGCGTGTTGTAATTTGTAATCAGTATAAATTGTGAGAAAATAAATGCGTTAAGTATTTTATCGTGAGTGTAAATTAGCGGACCCACGGAATCCGTAACAATATGCAACCAGTAATACAGTATCAGCATTTTATTTTGTCCCGCCTATTTTTAATAGTTGTTGGCTGTTCTAATATTGGAACAAAAGCGCTCCAATATTAGAAAAATTAAAAAATTTCAAGCTGTCAATCAATAATTGTCCCATCTTATACCTAAAGTTCCAAAAAAATATAAAGTAAATTTTTACTATACTAATTTTTGAAGATTTTTGAAAACAAGATTAATAAAAAACAAAACAAAAAAGATTAATCAAAATTATATTTATTAAAATATATATTTATGGCGTTTATTCTACTGGGAACTTTAATACATCGTCAAGGTGTGTGTGACGAGTTCTGTAATTTCAAACCAAACAGTTTTGAATAGCGAATATTGACAATTTGGCGAAGGATTTTTTTTTAAAAGTTAATTGCGTGTTGTAATTTGTAATCAGTATAAATTGTGAGAAAATAAATGCGTTAAGTATTTTATCGTGAGTGTAAATTAGCGGACCCACGGAATCCGTAACAATATGCAACCAGTAATACAGTATCAGCATTTTATTTTGTCCCGCCTATTTTTAATAGTTGTTGGCTGTTTTAATATTGGAACAAAAGCGCTCCAATATTAGAAAAATTAAAAAAATTTCAAGCTGTCAATCAATAATTGTCCCATCTTATACCTAAAGTTCCAAAAAAAATATAAAGTAAATTTTTACTATACTAATTTTTGAAGATTTTTGAAGACAAGATTAATAAAAAAACAACACAAAAAAGATTAATCAAAATTATATTTATTAAAATATATATTTATGGCGTTTATTCTACTGGGAACTTTAATATATCGTCAAGGTGTGTGTGACGAGTTCTGTAATTTTAAACCAAACAGTTTTGAATAGCGAATATTGACAATTTGGCGAAGGATTTTTTTAAAAAGTTAATTGCGTGTTGTAATTTGTAATCAGTATAAATTGTGAGAAAATAAATGCGTTAAGTATTTTATCGTGAGTGTAAATTAGCGGACCCACGGAATCCGTAACAATATGCAACCAGTAATACAGTATCAGCATTTTATTTTGTCCCGCCTATTTTTAATAGTTGTTGGCTGTTCTAATATTGGAACAAAAGCGCTCCAATATTAGAAAAATTAAAAAAATTTCAAGCTGTCAATCAATAATTGTCCCATCTTATACCTAAAGTTCCAAAAAAAATATAAAGTAAATTTTTACTATACTAATTTTTGAAGATTTTTGAAAACAAGATTAATAAAAAACAAAACAAAAAAGATTAATCAAAATTATATTTATTAAAATATATATTTATGGCGTTTATTCTACTGGGAACTTTAATACATCGTCAAGGTGTGTGTGACGAGTTCTGTAATTTCAAACCAAACAGTTTTGAATAGCGAATATTGACAATTTGGCGAAGGATTTTTTTAAAAAGTTAATTGCGTGTTGTAATTTGTAATCAGTATAAATTGTGAGAAAATAAATGCGATGAGTATTTTATCGTGAGTGTAAATTAGCGGACCCACGGAATCCGTAACAATATGCAACCAGTAATACAGTATCAGCATTTTATTTTGTCCCGCCTATTTTTAATAGTTGTTGGCTGTTCTAATATTGGAACAAAAGCGCTCCAATATTAGAAAAATTAAAAAATTTTCACGCTGTCAATCAAGGCTTCAATTTAGGGCAAAATAAAATGCTAACACTGTACAAATTGCAAAGTATGAACATTCTACAAAATTTAATAATTTTACAGAATTTTCAAGCTTATCAATGCCAATTCATAAAAATATATAGAATATAGAGGGTATTTCACGTAACTAGCTCATTAAAAGTGTTTTAAGATGAAATTTAGTCTAAATTAAACTAGTTATAGACTTAGAAAAATATATATACCCGGAAAAACTTTTAATGAACCAGTTGTATGAAAATCTCCTCTGTATATAAAATGATCAAAATAACTTACCATTATTAAAAGGTAACAGATGTGGAGCCCAACCCTGGCTCTATAACTTTGCATCCTGAAACGACTGACATTTGTCTGTATCCAATCAAAAATTTTCCTTCAAAGCTGCAACTTGTTCGTTGAGTTGTGACAGCAGCTGTCAAAATGTCCATTACCATCAATTTGTTCGGCTCACTAAAAGTACAAAAAAAATAAATAATAAAAAAAATTATGACGTCAGTTTGTTCATGCTAAATTTATCATAATTTTCTTGTATTGCTTACTAAAAATACAAAAAATAAATAAGTAAATTTTTAAAAAGTCAGTTTCTTCACACATTTTGGAATAAAAAATATGTTTTTTTAATATGTTAGGTAGATAAAAAAAACGCAAGTAACTTTTTAAAATATTGTCAAATATTCATAGATTTTTACAAAAACAAAACATACTAAATAAAATTAAAATTGTCTGATACAAATTTGTAAATAACTACAAAGATTGAAAAACAAATAATATATTAATATATTTTCAATCTCAAACTTATTTTATTTTGAATTTGAAGCCTACAATTTTGTAGTTAAATACAAAAATTGTAGCCTTAAAAAATAATAAAAAATAAAAATAACTTACCATTTTCATAGCGTATTGGTAATGAAGACCAATCAAACTAAGTACTATTGATTGTATCTTGAAATTGTCATTTGTGGGTAAGATTTTCAGTATCATTATTCCATTCAAAAAATTCCTCCTGCATTCATCAAACTTATGTACAGTTAGTTCTAACTCATTTGCAGATTTGTAACAGCAACTGTTAACGCCCAGTACATATCACTCGAACAGATATCTAAAAATAAAAAAATAAACAAATATTAATAAGTATATTAATTTGTATTAATGTAGAAAATTAAAATAAATAAGAAAACATTGTAATATCAATATAGATAGTCAAAATACAAAATTAAGTTGATTTGAATAAAAAAAATTCTCCTAATAAATTTAAAATTAAATGTTGCACCTAAAGATATTGAAATATACACATTATGTGTCAAATATGTCATAAATTCCAAGCTTTCCAAAAACTTTAATAGGATAGAAAATAATGTGAAAAAAACTTACCATTTTTGAGAGATATCTGCGTTGTTGAAGTCAATTTAATATCCTGTATCTACTGTAGAATAAATTGGTTATTTGTGAGCCTTTTCCCAGTTTAAATTATGTCAAAATTTCTTTGATGTTTCTAATAATTCATCCAAGTTGTTATAACAGCTGCCATTCTACATTTCCACCAATAGATATTCTTGTATAATACACAAATAAATGAAACATGATGTCCAAGATACCAATAACATCTATAAAAAAATAAAAGTTGTGATAAGTATTTATTTTTTTGTAACTAGATGAAAAAAATTACCTTAATACAGTGGCTCCAAATTTCATTCAAAAAACTTCCGTTACAGCGAACAAAGTCCTCCTCCTTTCCTCAAACATCTTCTATCTCCTTTCCTTCTATTTCAAAGCAATCCTCTTCCATCTTCTCTGTCCTATTCTATTTTCCAAGTCACCAATTCTTATTCAACTACTTATATAACTAAGTTATACAAATTTCAGGCGTCTTACAAACATTTTTTAAAAAGGGGGAAAAGGGATATAATGCTACAGCAAACGACTACGCTAGCGCACCTACCTAAAAAAAGAAAAACACTTTTTTTAGTCAAAGAAAATGATAAATATAAAGTTATATAAATTTACCTGATGGCATCTAGAAGATGGCCCTAATCCTGCTGTTGTCCCCCCAAAAAATTCATTCCAAAGCGGTTTAGTACTAAAAAGATTTATGCAGGAACAAACTAAATTTAATTTTAGTAACAATAATAAATTACTAATACTTTAAATGTCGTTATAATGTAAAATTAAATTATTTACTAATTTACGTTTAATTAAAAATCACTATTAAAAAAATTAAATAATATTATCAATTTTAAAATAAGACGAAAAATAGTTATTTCCAAATATAATAGAAAAACAATATGCTACCTAATTTTGTCTCTTTGGAGTTATTTTTTTATTACCCATTTATTATTGCTAAAAAACTTTATATCAAAGCCTTGTATAGAGTAAGAAAAAAAGTAAAAATGAAATGTAAAAATTGCAAATTAAAAAATGAGTACTTAATGCAACATTCTGTAAATGTAGGGAACCTAAAGTTACTGCTTTGGAACCACGACGCGAACCGACTTTTGAAGTTCTCCAAACCATACTGTATCACCTGTAAGAGAAAAAAAATAATATTAGAATATTTCTAATAAATACATATGCTAGAAGAAACAAAAAACAAGCTTTAGACAACAAAAAAAATATAAAAATATAAAACCTCACCATCACATCTTGCTTAAGTTCATTTTCAGTCCCACCATAATAATTATACGGCGAAAAAAACAGTGGCGTCTCACTGCTATGGGGCACATCGAATGTCCCCAACTCCATGGACTTCGGTCGATCCTGTAGAGTTGACAATAAACACGTTTTCCAGGTATTCGACGGTGCCTGGAACAACCCGAAATGTTTTGGGACTGATCATATATGCAGCATGTAGATAGAATTTCTGACTTCTTCAATCTTGTTTTTTAAAATCGCGCTGCGAACCCGGGTTGTCCTGAAAAAATGAAAAAAAAATTAGTTGTATAAGTAACTACAAGTTAAATTAGAATTTAAACTTATATCTACTATTAGTTTTAAAAAAGTTGTTCTAATTACTATACAAGTTAGACTACCTTAAATTGAAGCTCATGTATGTTGTAACAAAAAACTAAAATATACAACACTTTATATAAAAAGAATTTTGAGTGGTACATGTGCGATAGAAAAGTTATTTGGTAGAGAGTACAGTAAAAGTTTCAAATTTAATGTAATATAAAAAAATTAGACTTACTTTTAACAGGTTTAAGTTAGGCCTGGTTATGCTCGCCTCCGACCGACATTTTCTGCCTTCAAAATTCGACGCGGGGCAGACCAAGAGAAAAAAACAAAAAAATGTTTCCACGACCCGCCTGCGAGTGTGTGCTGGTTGCCTTCCTTATGCAGATTCGACCCATTGGTCGACGATTAAGCCTCACCAGTCAGTTCCCATCCCAATTAAGCCGCCTCGTCTGGGGTCACCCTCGTCACCCGTCGGACGGACATCCACCGGGACCCCTACAGGCGGACCCCCTCATCATCTTCAATGTGTCCGATATCCCGCCCCTGCCTCTTCGAGGGTCACGGAATACGTGCACGAAGAAATCTCGGAGCTTGGGTGCCAGGTTGTATCCGGCCGAAGCCTCTAGCATTAGAACACCTAGCTCGTAAATCAGAGGGTGGTGACTCCCTTGGGTACCTCTGCATGCTACACAGGTCATCGATGCCCGAACATCAGGGTTAGGGGGTGACCCAAGAAGTCTCCTCTCTTGGGGAAGGCCGCGCCACGTTCTGTAGTCATCTTAAGCCGGGGATCCACACCGACAAAAACACTGTTAACCAACCACATCAGCTAACGAAATTCACTAATGTTGAATTAGGAAATTTTATTAACCAACACAGAGAGCTAGCAATGCTCGTGTGAGTGGGGAAGGAGTGTGTGGTGTTGTAGTATTAATATAACGCGCCTAAAAAAAGAAAAAATATGGAATACCTAAAAAAATATTATCGAACACCTAAAAAAATATTACGACAATATATAAAGAGGTATATTTATTTTAAATGAAAAAAGAGATGCTCTATTTATACCTCAGCAATATTTTATAAGATTTTTCCTTGATTATTATACCTACCAAAAATGTCAAAAATATAAAGATGTTATATAATCTAGGGAAAAAATTGATATAAATTTGATGAATATGGACAAAATCCAAAGAATTTTTCCATGATGTAACACATAAAAAAATAAAATACACAAGGAGTTTTTAGAGTTGTAACATAGGTATATTATTTAGAGCTAAAAGTTAAACCTACAGTGTTTCAAATAAATAAAAAATATTAAAGTTATATTTTTTTAACAATGAGACATCATATATAATTTATTACATTTTTAGTTTCTACTATGAAGACACAAAAAACATTCGATCAAATTTACCTCAAAATCACACTTACTGTTTTCAAAATATTTTAATTTTTATAAAAATTCAGTAACAATTGATTTATTTCTTCAATGCAAATTTACAACTAATACTGAATTAGCAAAAATCATTTGTCAACATTAATACTATTTTTTAACATGTAATATTACATAACGCGCTTTAAAAGAGAGATATATTTTAAAATACCAATATCAGAAATCATTACAAAAAAGCTGAAACATAAATATGTAGGATTCTTAAATAAAAAAAATACGTAATAAAATTCCTAATGTACGTACCTATTTAAAACTTAAATACAAAAAACCTACTCATTCAAAATATTATTAAAATGGGCATATTATATTTTTAAAAAATAAAGAACACTCTAAGTATGCCCAAAAAGAAATTTAAATTAAAAATAGCAATTTACAAAAAATCAAGACATCGAATTCCAACAGGCGGCCATTTTATTTAAACATTTCTTGACCGAGAAAATTAAACAAAAAATCAAAGATACCATCACGTAATTTACCAAAAATATAGTACTATTTTACCCGCTTATATGTAACACGCAGTATAGAAAGTACCAAAAATACATAGTTTTACATACTTATCTATTAACTACGTATATTATTTAAACAATATCCTTAAAAATTAATAACTTAATGGGAAACTTGAGAACAAGGCATCCATGATGGATATTGCGAAATCCAAAAATATTAAACTAAAATATCTCAAAAAATACATAAAATTACAAGTACTCACTTTTTCAGGAGGCTAAGCAGGGCACTAGTAACAGATTACGCATAAATTGTGTACACTAAACGCACTTTTTCGTCAGAAAATTTAAAAAAATCGATGCAACGGACGAGAGGACATGCGGATCCTTCAATTGCAAACGACCAAAGCATGACCGGCGTTGCCAGATTAAAGTCATTCGTAAAATTTAAGCTGCTCATAAAATTAATTTATTTATTACTAATAAAATTGTTTATAGGAAAATTCTTGTAAATTAAGCTTAATTTTGTTCTCAAAAGTTATTATTTACTCAATACGTTCCACTGAAATCGTTTTTTTGCGTAAGGCAATCATTGCGTCACACACAAAAATCATAAAATAAACATAAAATGAAGCTGTTTAAATACATTTTTAATGCTATAAATATATCGAAACCAAGAATAAAGGATATAATGTTAGTACGTAATTACAAGAAGAAATGAAAGAAATTTCTACAAAACAACATTACTGGTACTTATTTTACTAAAAATATAAATATAGAAATGACCCTTACTATAGTGCCAGCGATCAATTTAAACTAATATAAATTCACAAATATCACATAGAGAAAAAGATTTTCGACATTTTTTAACAATCCGGCAACATTGAACGAGAATAAAATTCAAAACCATAAAATAATTAACTAGAAAGAAGTGTCAACTCTGTGTTAAATCGTGGAAACACGATACGCCACCGAAAGCCTTCGTTGTCGTCTGGAGAACTAATTTTCCAATTGACAGGTTGACATGATAAGGACATGATGGCTTAATTTTCATTTCCGTTTCCGGTTATTCAATGGCGGGCCCTTAAATTAATTAAACGAATTGTCTTTATTTGTATTTATTCCCTCCAGTATAAAATATCATACAAAACTTATTTTAAATTGAAATTATCTGGTACGCACATAATTAGATGAACTATAAAATCATGCATTTCTTTAATATTTGAATAAATTATTAAGAATCAAGTGTTTTTATTCGATAAATATCCCTTAGTTTAATAAGAAACTAATTCTATATAGTTAAATAGTAAGAAATATGAGATAAATTGAGATAAATTTTATAAAAAAAACTTCATAAGTCTTTAACTTGACTCAATGTTGACAGCTCTTACCGGATGTATCTGTTCAACTTTTGGCGCCACAATTTTCAAATTTGAAATTTAATTATGCTGAAAAATCCTTTATTTATAAGAAAAAATATATTAATAAGTACAAATTATGAGCGAAAAAACGGCGTCCAGTTGGCTGGGAAATGACGATTGAGTACATTTGCCATAAATTTACATATAAAATGACAGCGATCTTTATTTCATAGTCATCGCTGACGCTATTTTTTTTCGATCATATATTACGGTATTATTTATATTATTATTTTAATATTTCGCACAACACGTGAACGCTTATTATGTATTTTCATAGTCAATAAAATTAAATAGAAATAAAACTCTAGATTCCTATAATTAATCTAATTGCTTAGATTATTTGTGTTATTATGCTACGTTTAAAAAGTGCTTTATTAAACATTCGGAAAATTAAAAGCGATATGTGTCCAAGTTTCTTCTTTTTTTTTAATTTTTAAATGCTGTAGCTCCATATCATGTTCATAATAGGTTTTTCTTAACATTCAGTTAAAACTACTGAGGCCTTAAAATAAGGCCTCCGTAATTAAAACTGTAGAATCAGCTTCAGCGACATTAACAGTTACCTTGTTAAGATTTTTCTATTCTTACACCTAATTTATGTGATTTTCTTAGCATATATGATTTATAAACCATATTTTTCCTAATGGAAGGATGGAAGGATATGCAAGATTCAGATAGGTATTTTAACATTTATTTTCCAGACAAAGCATACTATAGTTTTAAGATTAAGACATAATAACCTTCACCATATTGTCAAGATTTGGCATTATAGGAAACAAGAAATTACAGGAAAATCAAAGTACACGATATTAAATACTGTAATGTATTTTACGACACAAACCCTTATAAAAAGAAAAAGATAAAACATAAAGCTTATTTTAGTCTTATCAACACTTTTCACTCTTCGATAAAATATATGTCTAAAATTGCTATTAATCCACTAACTTGATATTTTTAATAAATTATGATACAAACATAACCAAAATAGGTAAAATGTCAAAAAACCTCTAAAAAAAGGTAAAAAAACCTCTATCTCCCATTGACGTGTGTATTGTTCTATAAGACTCGTCATGGTAATAATTCAATCAATACATCAATATATATATAATCAAAACGATTGTTGCCTGTAAACAGAGATATAGACTTATAATTCTAATAAGTTTAAAACCATTAAGAAAAAATCCGTAAAAGACAATTTTTAATTCTAATGTAAATATATAAATAAATGTTATCATTATTACAATTTTATATACTTATAATAGTTTCATTTCACAATTTTCATTATCCTTCTTACCTTAATTTTGGATATCAAGATAAATCTGAAATTATAAAATTAATTCTAGAATTTGTATTTTTACTGATTGTCAAAAAAAATTTCAACTGCAAATAATTCGAAAATAAACTGAAATTTGGCAACATCGACGATGTGCGCTTGCGTAGTATCGATGATTAAATGCAGCAAATATGGGCTTCAAGGTCAGCCACCGGATCGACATCTTTACCGAAATATTTCTATGGGCTTGTATCTTTGATTAAAATTTAAATAAACGAAATAAACCTACAATCAGGAAATGTATACGAAAAGCGCATGTGTAGTATTGACACAGCTTAAGTAAATATTTATTCTGTAAGCCGTGGTATTGATGAGCAAGTGCAGCAAATAGAAATCTCAAGATCAACTAAAGTTTTCTTTTTTTGTTACATGTGTAGACATCTATCTGACAAGTACGTATTGACACAGCTTAAGTAAATATTTATTCTGTAAGCCATGGTATTGATGAGCAAGTGCAGCAAATAGAAATCTCAAGATTAACTAAAGTTTTCTTTTTTTGTTACATGTGTAGACATCTATCTGACAAGTACCAAACTTTTTCATAATAGAAATGTGTAAAAATACAAATCCCGACATCTAACTGACATTAGTAAAAATTTAAATTTAAAGAGATCTGTAATATTTATAATAGGTGGGGCTGACATCTAACGTATTGATTGAGAAATGTTAATTTTTCAGTTTCAAAAGAAAAATCAAATGTTAATTTTAGAGAAATTAAATTTGCTTCTACAAAAAAAGAAAAAACACATTCAGATAAATAACATTTAATAACTGTGTAATAATTATTTACAATAATAGACATATTTTTAAGATTTAAACAATATACAAGATAAAATTGCTAATTAATATATGAAAACTATTTTTTGAACCTGTTCCTTTTAAAAAGTAAATAATAATAAACATCAATATATTTATTTTCTCGGTACATGTATGTATACAGGATGATCTCTAATTTATGTATATAACTTGTATAAGCCGTATCACCCTAGTCTTGTACACAGAAATTTATATGAGGCCATTGAAGAGCCTAGTTTTAAAAGTATCTTATAATGACATACATCGGTTTGATGTGCTGTTTTTATATTACTAGTAATTTTCACAAAATACCCACTAAATAACAAAATTATTCTTTTTTATTCTACAACTCAGTAAATAAAAATATATAAATTACACGTTATACTTACTTTTTGAAATAAATTACACTTAGCATTAGTATAAAATATAGCAATTTTTCTGAAACTTCAAATAAAAATAATTATTGACTATATAAAAGTATTATTTTTGTTTCAAGTTAAGAACTAACATAAGCTTGAATATTTTTAATCATATACAATATAAAACAATATACTGCCATCCTATACAAGCAATGAAATGATTTGAAGACTTGAATCTGACTTGAATGTTCTAAGACTTTATTGAAACTTGACTTGAATGTTCTAAGTGCAAAAATCTGACTTTTCTGATGATTTTTTTTATCGTAAACCGTTTCAAAGTTATGGCACTTTTAATGGAAAAGGATTTTTTTACGTGTTATTTAAATAGAAAACTTTGAATGTTCACCGACACCTTTTAAAAGCGAGCTAAAATCCTGCCTTCCAGGGATATTTTTTTCTAGGATATTAAGTTTATTTTAACCTTTGAATAAGAAGACTAAGGAAGGAGCATAATGCTATCCATGTATTCATGCATGGTGGGCGGAAAACAAGGTTATTAGATTCTACAGGTTACCTCAGTCGACAGATTTTAGGCGAGAGGTGCGCGGAGGACGGCGGGTGTGCGTGACGTAGTTCTGAGACCCGCCGTATCTCTTTTTAATACCTTCCATTTCTTTCTTTCTCGTACGGTTTAATGGCAATGGCCGTTGGTTTGGTAGTGGTTTTGTATCGTTTTTGTATTATTTCTTTATTTTCTAATATTTCTTTAAGTGTTACTGGTTAAATTAATTGTGGTCTGTGAACTACACATATTTAAGTAGTTTGTGGACAATTTATTATTTGCGTAGATCTCAGGAACTGGTAATTAAGTGAGTATAATTACTTATATAAATGTTCAGCCTAGAGAAACGTTTATCGGCATGTTTATACTAATTTTTAATAACTATTTTTTTTGAAAAAAAACAATAAGATTTAATATTTTTAGGATGCTGTGAACTCGGTGTACAGTTACTACTTGTCAAAATAGCCTAGAAAAGGCTAAAAATTTGGAAAAATTATTAAATTTCATGCTTTCCCGAAGAATACCGAAATTACTGAAATATGGGTGCAGATTCAAAGCGTGTAGAGTTGTAGAGATGGAAAATGGAATGTAGAAACTTGTAGGATTTGTTCAGATCATTTTACCGATGACGATTATGAAAGAGATCTTCAAGTAAGAGGAATTATTAGGACTTGGAAACTAAGAAAAACATTAAAAGCAATTGGTAAATAATTCAAAGCTTTTCGGCTTTTTTGTAATATAATATTTTTAGTTATATAGGTATGAGTAGAATCTTATGTAAAAGTAAAAAACAGTCAGTCCACCTGACAAAATTGATCCATTGAGGCAAAAACGAGTTGAACAAAGAAGAACACAAGTGGCGGTGGAGGAATTACTAATGAAAAATTTCGAGGAAAGCAATGTAAATGTTGCCGAGGAACACAGTACCGTAGCATCTGGAGCTGTTATTACTTGTGTTGGTCATCCAATGTATGATGAATTATTGTTAAAATATAATGAATTGAAAACTATCCTTTCTCTAAAGGAAGAATTATTGATGGCAGAGGACCAAAAAATTAAGAAATAACAAAAACAACTTTTAAAATCTCAACTACACTTGAAGCAGAAAAGTCCTATAAAACAGTAGAATACTAAGCCGGTTAGTTTATTTATAAATTTTAAATTCAACTTTTGTTCTAAATTTAAACTTTAAGTTTAAAGAAAATAAACAAGAAATGCTAAGAATTTTTTTTTACAATGTAAACTATTTTTATTTATATACATATTTAGAAATTAATTATACAAACCATGTCGTAAAATTGGTATTTCTGAATTGTTTAAAACTATTTGTACTAAATTTGCATATACATCATTTATATTACAAATAAATAATTTATTGCTTTGATTAGGTACTTTGATTTATTTATTTCAATAACTATACAAATTCATATATTACTAAATAAAAATGTAAGGGTATTGATAATAATTTCCAAATATTAAATTTTATTTATTGTATCTATTTTTATAAATATATACCAAAATATTTATGAAAAAGAAAATCAAGATTTATTCACGATAAGATCCTTTTACAAAATCTTCAAAATTAATTAACTTTTTACGTTTTAATACATTTACACATTTCATTTAAATTATATGAAAATAATTTAATTTTTTACATTTTAGAAAAAAATATAAAACATTACAAAATAATACCAATCTTTTTGAATTTTGCATTATTTTAAAGAGACGACAAAATACAAATTTAAACTGTTAGTACGAGAGAGACAAAATCCATATAACTTCTAGGCTAGACAAAGAGGAACTGGGTCTCGGGCTGACGTCACGCGCTATGATTGGTTGGGCTTAGGTGAGGTAACCTTTAGAGTATAATAACCTTGGGCGGAAAAAGCACTCTAGGGTGGAGATCCTTGACAGTTCTGTTTGACGATTCATTTGACACATTTGAATTTGATTTGAAATTTTGTGGATTTGTCAGTCTTTACGGAGCTTATTTTATGTCATTTATTATTTATTCTACTACTGATAGTTGTATTAAGGTAGTAAATCTAGACAGTGACTAGTAAATTAACAGTGACATTATCGCGATTTATCGAAAAAGACTCTAAAATAGTTGGTTGTGTAGCGTGCGGTAGATCTCGGCAAAAATTGAGTGAAATAATGGAACAACTTTTCGCTAGTAAGTGAAAAAAAAAATTGGGTCTACCCCACGTCTACCCTACATCGTGGACTCAATAAATATGTTGTTTTATTTGACGTTGTGAATAAATGTTGGTAGTTATTAAAATTGTTACAAAAATATATAATTCTAATAAAAATAGATAAGTTATAATAATTATTTATTAACACAAAAGTCCGATACGCTACTGAAGCAGGTAAATCTGGTAAATCAAATTGACGTATCTAAATTCTTTGACAATTCTTTGACATCTAATCTTTGACAAGCAATAAATAAAAGCAAAAATGCAAGAAAAAATATATAATTAGTTAATTTAAGTGAATTTCATAAATGATCGGTTTACTACACGTATGTATATTATATAGTCACTTACTAGCGAAAAGTTGTTCTAGTATTTCACACATTTTTGCCGAGATCTACCGCACGCTACACAACCAACTAGTTTAGAGCCTTTTTCGATAAATCGCGATAGTGTCACTGTTAATTTAAGTTCTGCCACAATTTCCATCTAGATTTACTACCTTTATACAACTATCAGTAATAGAATAAATAATAAATAACATAAAATAAGCTCCATAAAGACTGACAAATCCACAAAATTTCAAATCAAATTCAAATGTGTCAAATGAATCGTCAAACAGAACTGTCAAGGATCCCCACCCTAGAGTTCTTTTTCCGCCCACCATGCATGAATACATGGATAGCATTATGCTCCTTCCTTAGTCTTCTTATTCAAAGATTTTAACCCATAAATTCCATAGGTTAGTTTTTTTGGCTCACCCTAATACTGCATATCTATGATTCAATATTGGGACAAGAATTTATGTGGTATTCGCAGTATATTCCTTTATTTAAAGTATATGCTTGTAAGTGTAATAAAAAATGTTAAAAAAAACAGTTAGGTTGACAAATAACATTGTTGACTCTCTAACATTACTACTAAATATATATTTTTTCATATAAGATTTCTCATTTCTATAATTCTTCTAGTTGTATTTCCAACTCTCGTCCATTTTTAATCTTCATTTTGACAATAATTTTGACAGTTCTAGTCTCCTCTGATAAAAAAAATAAAAGACGACTATAGAAATGATTAAAAATATACTTTTAGTTACTCTTACAAAAAAATTTGGACATTATTTAGCTGTGTGATGAGAAATATCTACATTTTAACTTGCGTTCCTCCTTTTGGACGATTCATCATTGTCAAATAGTTTAGTTCTTGAGAAATTTTCATATATAAGAATAAACAGATGACAAAACAGAGTATATTGCTCAATCTGAAATAAAATTTGTTCAGTTATTATTTTGATGCACTTGCGTAATCATTCATAGAACCTAGCATCACAGATTAGGTATCCTATAAGTATACAGATAAAAATCTTGTCCCTAATTCGTTGTACGAAAATTGTTTTTTATGACGATGTGCAAACGAGTAAAATTTCCTGTGCGCAAAAATAAACTCGCATAAAATAACAATAAACAGCGTAATAGAGAGATATCGCTAAACCGAATAGCGTGGACGTTAATGGATATTAATAAGGCCAGGTGTTATTTCCTTTACGTGAGGTGGTATTAACTCTCTTCATTTATAGTTATCGGATCGGAAAGAATTCTGTTCGCGTCGCGTCCGCTATTTAAACTTAACCTAACTTTGAAATTGTTCTGTTTACTAGGTATTTTACTACAGTGCTTATTTATTACAGTTATTACAGTGCTTATTTATTATTTTATTACAGTGCTTATTTCCAGTGCTTTATTGTTCAACGTCTGCCAGTGGGTTTAGGGCAACAAGCAACAAATTCTCTTAGAAAGGCTAAGTCGTCATCTGCTGTTATAGCCTCTTTATAGGTTCTTTAATATTGGAAGAGATGGAATCCATATTTTGGGCCATATTTATTTAATTAAAACTAATCCCAGCTACTTAAATATCAAATTACCTAATAAAACTAAAGTAATAATTCAAAACAATTCAAACATAACCTAAAATAAAAGATCTCGCCGGCCGGCCCCGGTTGTCAAATACCCGCACATGTCCATTTAAGCAATTTTTAAACTTTATTTAGAAACAGCGCTTGGTGTAATTGATCCGCAAATTACGTCAGGCGGTAACGTTATTAGCGGGCGTTGCGTTAAAAATTGACTCGCGCATATCGTAACCATGATAAGGTACGCGTAAATACTGCATGACGCTATTCGGTTTTCCGATATCTCTCTAATAACTGTGCCGGTCAGGCGCTTTGCACAATTTTAGAGGCCATAAGTGGGCGTGCCATGTGCGCAAACTAGTAACCTAACTAGTGCCCGATTCCGAAAATTGGAACCACGAAAAACAATAAAGAAAAAACAAAGTTTATAATCTGTATAATCTGTGGTTTTACCTTATTTATGAAAAAAGTATAGAGTATAGTAGACGAACTAGTAGTAGACAGAAAAGGCATTCTAATAAATATCACAACACTGGAAATAGTAGAATACATATATTTGGCACAACTAATACACAGCTCGGGATCTCTACTACCAGAAATTAACAGAAGAATTAAGTTAGCATGAAGTACTTATGGAAGAAACCAGTGGCGGCTTAACCATGAGGTCAAATGGTCAGTGCCCCCCAAAAAAATCAGGGAAAATTAGAAAAACTTATTTAAATTATACTTTTTGTAAATCACTTTTTTTCCATCCTAAAATATTCAAAACTATTCCCAATTTGTCCAATTTTCGCTTGAAAACATTTTATTTTACCCATTTTCTCTACTGCCGGTCAAAATTTCATTTTCTCCTTCGTTCCCGCTATGTTTTACACGTAGATATCAAAACTCCAAGAGTCGCGGCTCGTGACGCCAACAAGGTAAGGTATACTACGTATAGAAAATATAATGGGGTTAAGGGTGCGATAGATATAGTTTATATTGGCCATTGACCGCGTCATTCAGAAAAGGATTTATAAGGTAGGCAACTTTATATACACTTGAATTTGGTAGTTTACTGACAGTTGATATAAAAAGTGGCGGTTTTTATCTTTGTCTAGAAACCTCTCTCTCTCTCAGCGTATTATTATTGTAATTTGCTTTGAATAAGAAGACTAAGGAAGGAGCATATCAAAAATCTTAGGTACACCGCGACGGGCCTCAAATATGGCCGACTTAAATTCCGGTTTATCAGTGCCCTTCTAATTTTATTTAAAAAATGTAAAACTATGATGTAGGGCAGACGTGGAGTAGACTCAATAATTTGTTATTTTATTTTACGTTGTGAATAAATGTTGGTAGTTATTAAAATTGTTATAAAAATATATAATTCTAATAAAAATAGATAAGTTATAATAAGTATTTATTAACGCAAACATCCGATACGCTACTGAAGCAGGTAAGTCAAATTAACGTATCAAAATTCTTTGACATCTGATCTTTGACAAGTAGTAAATAAAAGGTAAAATGTAAGAAAATATATAATTTAGTTAATTTAAGTGAATTTCATAAATGATCGGTTTACTACACGTATGTATATTATATAGTCACTTACTAGCGAAAAGTTGTTCCCATTATTTCACTCATTTTTTGCCGAGATCTACCGCACACTACACAACCAACTATTTTAGAGTCTTTTTCGATAAATCGCGATAATGTCACTGTTAATTTAAGTTCTGCCACAATTTTCATCTAGATTTACTACCTTTATACAACTATCAGTAGTAGAATAAATAATAAATAACATAAAATAAGCTCCGTAAAGACTGACAAATCCACAAAATTTCAAATCAAATTCAAATGTGTCAAATGAATCGTCAAACAGAACTGTCAAGGATCCCCACCATGGTACAAAGAATACAAGGTATGATATTGCGCAGGTTGGTCGCTAAGTCACAGGTGATAACAGGCGCTATTGGTCAGCACGCTCCGCGCGCCAGTTCAAATCGTCAAGGTATTGTTATAAACCTGTTTTTTTTGTTTATATACCGTCATTGAATTATCGCTAAGCAAGTTACTGTGGAGCAGTGCGTAAGGAGTTGGGCTAGGAAGCGAGAGACCGGAGTTCGAATCTCGGCGGGACATAACTTTTTTTTTAAATACTGTTGTATTCTATAGTTTATTTTTGTAGTATAAAAGAAAGAACTATTTATTCTGTTATTTTTTAATCTGCGGTATTAATATAAATTGATTGTTGGTACAATACCTCATTTAATATAAAATAATATTCTACTTTTTGAAATGTATCTGGCCCTAATTGTACCTAAAAGTAATATATTGTTACAGTGATATACCAATGTAAACTATTTAATATTTCAGTCACTTAAAAAGTTAATTTGCATTGAATAATTGCCTAGGATCAAAGGAAATTTGAGCTATATAATCCTTGATGGGCATATTCTGGGTATGCAAATACTTCTTCTAAATTTTGGGTTTCGTTCAACCGATTTATTCTCAAAACCTGAAACATCTACATATAAAAAGAAGCACAGGTCACTAATTATAATAAACTTCACCCTTGGAATTACTTCTATCACAATTACAATACATTCATCTGCATTGGCATTTTCTACTTTTCGATGGGAAACAATATAATTCCCAACATTTTTTAAATGATGTAACAATTCCTCTTGTGGTTACTTTTCCATAGATATCCTCATCTCTGTCCTCATGTGAATTCAGAGGCAATGAACATAAAAATTATTTACCATAAACATCGCAAACTAAAAACCTAATAAACAATTTTATACCGAATATAGAAATAAATTTAGTATTCTTACCTATCGTCCAAATCCATGTTAATAGATAATTATTATTTTTAAATATATTTTTGGAACTGCTGGTTTTAGTAATTATTAAATTAAACGAACTAAAAAGTCTTAAAAATAAACAATTCTTAACCATAACCCCAAAAAATGCAGATCTCCTGTCAACTTTCTTTATTTTTTATTTATTCATTGGTCGCGTTCATCAGGACGTAGCGCTATCGCAGCGATCACTAATTTTCTGCTGAACGCGCCGATTAGTCGTGAGCGCTCTGGGATCAGTCGCCATTTTTTCCATCAGATTTAAAATACGCTACGCTACCGATGCATGATGGATTAAACGTCACATGCGCCAAATGTCACAAAATGTTTTGGAAATCGAAAACAAAGCATTTTGTTTATTGTTCTCGGTTGACTAATCCCCTCGATTTGTACCAAAAATGGGTGAAAACAATTTAATATGCATTACTTATGATTTTGATCTAAAAAGCACGTTCAGCAGGACAACCAATCGATGGTACTTCGCTCACTGATCAACTTGTCCTGATGAACGCGACCATTATTTTCCTAGTGACGTCACAGGTGGTATGCGCGAACTGAACGAAATTGGAGCCGCTATCGATCATACCTTGTATTCTTTGTACCATGGATCCCCACCTATGATCCCCACCCTAGAGAGCTTTTTCCGCCCACCATGCATGAATACATGGATAGCATTATGCTCCTTCCTTAGTCTTCTTATTCAAAGGTAATTTGTAATATTGTTTATTAGTTGAGAATCAATATAGTTAATTAAGAAATATCGAGTGCATTATTTCTATATAAATATTTTACAGGATTTCAGTCATATCGCTGGGAAAATTTCGCCGTTTGGGCAGTTTGGGTGTTTATAAAAACTCAAATTATATCGTATAATGTTTGGTTTAGTCAATATAAATCAATATTTAAATTTTAAATATCGAAAAAAAATTTAGTTTTAGTTACCCTGGCTTTGTCGTAGCCGAGGGTTTGAGATGCAGGGCGAAATTTGTGTAGGTAATAATTCATAATTTTTTGGTTCTGGATAAATGATGAACTCTCATTGACTGATTCTGGAATAGATATGTTCAAATAGACAACTTAATATGGTGTTTAGTTTGTAAAATCGTGCGGTTAAAAGAAAACAATTGCTTAAATTTCGAAAAACGTTTAGAGAAAGAATTGACTTAAAATATAAAAAAATGTGAAATAAAACTTTTAGAAATGTATATGTGTATACAGGGTGAGTTTCCTACGATGTTCTCTATGGGTATCTCGGAAACTACTGGAGATAGAGAGTCGGTTAAATGGGGAAAGAATTGCAGTTTTGTGGGGTCATAAATATGCGCCTTTCAGATTTTTGAAAAAGTTCATGGCTTACTAGATATTTCGAAAAAAACAAATTTCAGCTTTTTTAAAAAATGTCCCTAATTCCATTATAAGCTATTTTAGACAAAAAGTTTTCACATAAAAGTTGTAGATAATCACATCCTTAATGAGACTGTGTCCTCCGTTTTTTTCTAAAGCCTGCCATTTTTGACATATGACACAAACATATGTTTTTTTAAATGGAAACCATAGTTGGCCATGACTTCATAAAAAGCGCCATTTTTTAAGCTTTTCAGCGATATAAGATATAATATGTTTTCTTCGAAAAATTACTGAGTTATAGCCAATTCTTATCATTTTTAAACAATTTCACTTAGTTAGCCATGGAAACAAGTTTAATCGTGTTTGCTCTCATAAATGTGAAGCTGTCACATCCAAACTTTGTAAATTAAAATAAACAAAAATTGTAAATATGAATTTTTCAAATGAAGAAAAGTGTGTCGACTTTTCTTGACCATACATTTTCGAGGATACGTTGACCGGTGAATGTTACGTTTTATAGAGAAGAACGAAAGAAACGTTAGAAAAGTTAAATTTAGTTATAGCTAATTTTTATCTTTCCTGACTAATTTTACTTAAACTGCATGGTATTCTTATTCTGTTATGATTTATAACTTATAAAAAGTCAGAATATATTACTAAACGGTTCTTTACAATTGTTTTGAGTTGCATCTTTTTAAAACTGAATTACTACCTATTCTCATAGAAGGACTGGTCGACTTAATTAAACTTTTCTCGTACCGCCACTTCTAGTGCCTCTCTTAATTCATAAGTTCTTTTGTAAACCTTATTCTTAACTATACCGCATAAAAAATTCTAAAATGGATAGGCCAGGTGATCGTGGAGGCCCATGCAATTAGTCCACTTCTTCCTATCCCTGCGTTTGTATAATTATGATATAAATAATTTTTAACATTTCTCTCATTATGGGGGATGGGGGTGGTGTGTCATAATGAAAGTCATGTTGGAACCACTATATTTTAATTTACCACTTTATTTTAATTTACAAAGGTTGGATGTGACAGCTTCACATTTCTGAGAGCAACGGCGATTGAACCTGTTTCCATAGCTAACTAAGTGAATTTGTTTAAAAATGATAAGAATTGGCTATAACTCAGTAATTTTTCGAAGAAAAGATATTATATCTTATATCGCTGAAAAGCTTAAAAAATGACGCTTTTTATGAAGTCATGGCCAACTATGGTTTCCATTTAAAAAAACCTATGTTTGTGTCATATGTCAAAAATGACAGGCTTTAGAAAAAAACGGAGGACACTGTCTCATTAAGGATGTGATTATCTACAACTTTTATCTAAAAACTTTTTGTCTAAAATAGCTTATAATGGAATTACGGACAATTTTTAAAAAAGTCGAAATTTGTTTTTTTCGAAATATCTAGTAAGCCATGAACTTTTTCAAAAATCTGAAAGGCGCATATTTATGACCCCACAAAACTGCAATTCTTTCCCCATTTAACCGACTCTCTGTCTCCAGTAGTTTCCGAGATACCCATAGAGAACATCGTAGGAAACTCACCCTGTATATGTATTCATATTTTTGTGACATTATTATTTAAGTGTCTTTTAAATCCTACCGTGGAGAATTTGTGTAAAGAACATTGACTGGATTTTTAGTGAAATGGCACTAGACCAACTATTTAAAAATATGAGGGTAGGTTTCATTTTAACATAATTTGTATTTATTTTTAGATTTATTTTCCTTTAACTAAACGTACAAGTACCGTATGATCGAGAAAAAACGGCGTCAGCGATGGCTATGGAATGAAGATCGCTGTCATTTTAAATGTAAATTTATATGGGAAATGTCATTGATGTTCATTTCCCAGCCAACTGGACGCCGTTTTTTTTTCGATCATACGGTACCTTGTAAGAAACCAATAAATCTGGTCGCGTCTTAAATAAAATCGACGCAATATTTTTAGATATTGACCTCCCTACAATAATAACCACGGGCCGCCACTGTATACCGGGTGTTTCATTTAGAAAAAAAACTTGGGTTATACTTCAAAATGACAGCTCCCAGAGAGAAACAAGTTACGCCTCTGAATTCCACAAGAAAAACTCGATGAGACTCAGCCTTCACTTTTCGATAAGTTATAAGATAACCAAGATACAAGGGGAGTCGAAAAATGCAACAATTTCAAATTCGCCCTGTATTTCAGAAACTAAAAGAGCTAGAACAGATCGGTGTCTAGCATCTTTAGTTTCATAAAAAAAATAGCACAGTAATGTGAAAACCGCATCTTTGTATCTCTACTAAACTTGTATTCATTTAAAACTTCCCAATATGGCGGACTTCAGTATGGGAGGCTTAAAAAACGAAAATCTCTAAGCTGGAATCGACTGCAGTTCAAATCGTTCAAATTGATAATCTGTGGTAAATCCAATTGAACTCTGACACTTGGCTGACATGACGTTTACGGTTCCTTTTTCTAAATATTTTCATTATTTTTTGAGTTTTTATTCACAAATTCTACTTGATTTTGTTCTTTTATTTAACCTGCAGCCTGCAGTACTAATTCTATAGTTATAAATAATCTTTTCACCGATCAAGAATTGAGGAATAGGCTGGAAGATATTCAAAATATGTAAAACGCTTAAAAACGTATTAGAAAACATTGACTCGTTCACAAATTCGTGAAAATAAATTAGTCCAGATGTTTGTAAAAAGGTCTCTAATTATTTTGAGAAGTTTCCTCGTATCAGTAATTTTCAGGTTTGTAATATGTACCATATGATAATAAATAGATTAAAACTTACATTTCAGGAAACAGCGCGGGCATTACAGATTGTTGTAAATCAGTTTTAAAATTTAAAGAAGGTTTAAAACAGGTTTAAAAGTTGAGTTAGTAGAGAAGACCTAAATAAGGTAATGTTGGTAATGGGACCAAACATCAAATAACACTTGAAATATATAATTATGTACAATAATTGTAAGTAGTTTTTATGAATCTGTTTGATATCTATTGCATTGTTTTTATATTTCTTGAAATATACATTTTTTTACTTTACAGGATACACAAAGAATAATGAAAAATACAGTTACTCATTAAAAGCACTTAAGGTTTGTAATGTAGTTAGAATATCAAACACCAAACCAAACCAAAAATTATGTTTTATTTTACTGGTATTCCTCACATTTGAAGGGAAAGTCATTTCATAAATAAGCAGGACATTGTATAGTACAATCTATATTAATAATTGTTTTTTATCCTATACTTGTTAGTTAACGCATCACTTACTAGGTATAAAATTTAGTACTGATAGTACTATAGTTGTGGTTGTGATATATTCTGATGTGTTTCTGGCAATTTAAAATAAGTTAATATTTAAACAAACATTTCTAGCTTTCCTGACAGGAGTGCGGACACAAATTTAATAAAGGTATAATGTGGATAATGTTCTGATTATTACAGTTTGCATGGATGTTTTTGTATGTTGTTTATTTTTAATAAAGTATATTTAATGAGTTTTTGAGTATTTCTTTTTCCTTCAGAGGATTGTGTTCTAATCTTTATATATTATAAATTTTCATAAATTATATCTACAAAATTTATTACCTTATAATTTTTTGCTAAATACTTTGTAGTTGATACAGTTTAACAGTATATAAAAGAACTATTTAAATAAGATGTTTGAAAATATATATCTGTTTTTGCACACATCAATTCAATTTGTGATTAACTGTACTGAAATAAAAACAAATTAAGAGAAATGGAGTGATCTATCAACTATAACATGAAAAGCATCATCCTATTTCCAAGTCTTCTATTAATTTCACTTATTAAACAACTATAATTATTCAATAATCTTGATAATTCTAGGAACTCTCAGATATCGTCAAAACATGAAAACAAAAACTTACTTCCTATAGTTCTACGTTCCTTTAACTGAAATATAAGATACAGGGGAGTTAATATTCTCACTGAGAAAGTTTATAAAATACCTTTAAGTAAAATCTCTTCGGATTTGCGGTAAAATACCTTTATTCTTATTAAATAATTTCAATAATCTATGTTATTTATGACAACCACCTAATAACCTAACTTTAACGTCAACTTGACAATCCTGAAAAATATTATTGTTAACCAAAGAGTAAATCAATTTCTGAATTCGCTAACGCCAACTTATTTTTCATTAAAAAAAAATTACCAATTTTCGTAACTAGGTCGGCCATATTGAGGACCTTTTAAAAGAATAGTACTATAATAAAAGAGAAATCCCACAAAACACATTAGAATAGGATACCCTGTAGAATGTCACAGACACACCCCGTATACTTACCAGATATTAATTCGTTTTCCAAATGATGATGAGAATGATCACAGCTAAGATGGCGGAGGCGATGCCTATCAGCAGCACCTTCTTTCTTCGAATTTTGTTCTTGTACGTGCTGGCTTCTCGCAGCTGCTGAGCCCCTTGGCGCACGTAGTCGCTGGTGCTCTCCACGGAGGCCTCTATGCTGTCGATCACTTCGCCCTGTTCGTGCACCATGGCGCCCAAGTCCTTAAATATCTTGTTCACGTCGTTGATATCGATCTAGAACAATTTTTATTTTGTTGAATTTTCACAAATTATACTTACTAAAACAAAATATGTCTGGAAATATTTCGTGAAACATTTCGTAAAACATTTCTGAATATAGTATGATAAATATAAGCTCGTGTTATAAAGATTGGTTGTTTGTTTTTTATTGTTAACCCAGATTAACAATAAATCGTGCTATTTTGTGAAATAGCACGTAGCAATCAAAGTCAAACGTTGTTTTGGCTTCAGAAAAATAAGTAAACATGGAAAAACTGTTATAAAAACAGTTAAAAACAGTCAAAAATAACTTAAAAAAAATGGCGCCGGGAGGCACGTATAGCCGCCCATACTAAAATATGTTAATAAAAAGTTGGTAGGCAGTTCTTTTAGTTTGAAAGTGAAGGAATTTTTCCAATTTTGGTCCGCGGTTATTTTCCCTATCCGCCACCAGGCGTCGCGTCCGATGGGAGTTTGGAGTTATCCACATGGATTTTCTCAAAAACGGACTACAGAAACGCGGAATATCTCAAAAACTGCGACTTTGACTGATTTTGATGTTATTACAAATTTTGTTGCAAATATTATTCCTAATCTTAAATTAAAAACCGCGTTTCGCTAGCTACTGTAATTTTAGAGTTACAATTTTCTAAAATTTTTAACCCCCTCCCATACCCCCTTACCAACCCCCCACCACCACAGCTACCTAATTTGTAATTTAACTAACCAATTGTACTTTAAATGAAATTAAAACTTGACCCAAAAAGTTATACAGGGCGAGACAAAATTGGTATTGAACATCGGTCACTTTTAAAAGCAAGTTACTCTCAATGGAACACCCACTATATTATTCCGACATTCAATAGGGAATTCATGCCTCTCGAAAACACTATTAAGGTTGCCTAGACCCATTAGACAAAGATTTTCTTAGATATTTTCATTTTTATGATTTAGTGTGAAAAACTCAATTCTATACCTCTAACTGGCGAATTGCTTGTTCCTGTTCCTGTAACGCCTTCAAATCTGCTTCATCTTGCAATTGAACTTGATGCCTCGCCGCACTATCTTGCAGCTCTATAAGTTGCTGATCTTTTTTGTATCCAGCTAAAATATTCATAGTGATATTTACCCCAGTTTAAATGACTATAAAAACACTTACGTAGAAAAGGTTGATCGCCATAAATCTGAGTTTTAGCTTTCTGAACTTGTTCCTTTTCTTTCTGTGCTGTACTCCTTTGAACCTGTTGAAACATGTTTAACGTGCTTGTAAATTCATCGTGTAGTCTTTCGCGTTGCATTTTTCTCTGTCTTTGTTCAGATTGTGACAATGAAGGCGGTATCGAACTCAGATCCTTAATATATCCACTGGTGTCTTTGACAAGTTGTTGTGTATAGTGTTGAACGGAATGCCTAAATTATATATTTAGTTGCAATATGTTTTCGATCTAATTGTTAGGCAGTTAAACTTACAATTGTTTCTTTAACTCCGGGGAATCTTGATGACTCCCGATTTGATTAACCATTCTCTGCATGGAAGATACTGGCAACAAAGTTTAAAACATATAAATATCAGGCATATCGCAATCATAACATATTTACCATTTTGTGAAATTTTTTGTATACTGCTAGCTACAGTTTGAGATAATTTTTGAAAATCCTGATCTAGAGTTTGATTATTTCCGTTCTGGTACGACTCCATGGCTTAAAAATTACAATAAAAAATGTTAGGAGAATACAGGAGAATACCGACACTTGCCAAGATTTCACACAAAATTTCCTTGTTGGACCGATTAAAATAACACCTCTTTATCTCTGTGCGATAAATGCGTCTTGAAAATTATCTTTTAATCATCAATTATCTCAATTCAGAATGTTTATGATCATTAAAATCAATAGGAAAAGCCTTGGAAAAGCCTATAATCTGACTCATCAAGAAAAATAATACACAAATATTTAAATGACAGTGACAATTAAATTATCAGCTGATCAGATAAAATAAAGAACACCAACTTACAGAATTGATTATCGTTTATAAACAAATCAAGATATATTCGAAAATCATTATATAATTGTTAATATATTAAAAATAGAAACAAACACAGCCATTAATTATTAATAACGGTTGGATTATATAAAGGTTTTAGTAAAAATAAATTCATAATTTTTGTTGCGGAAGTGTGGCAATGCTGAGAAATGACAATGACAAGCATGCGTAAAATAGATGAATCAGTGGCCCTCCCGTTTTTTTGAGGTGCGGTTTTTGTTGATAACATTTATTACAAATATACACCAAATATTCATTTAAGAAATTCCTGTAAAAAGCTATAATGGATAAATTACCACCTTGTGTTATCGATGTTGGCACTGGGTAAGTAAATTATGTAGCATTCAGCAGAAAAAAACTAAGTTAACCCAATAAGTTTAACCCACTAACACAAAATCCTGTTTTTTTTCTATGAATATATCAATATATTTCCGCAAATAACGCTCTTCTTCAAATAAACAATCACGTAATAAAGTATTTGTTCATTTTTATGTTAAAAAATACATGGTTAAAATGCACAATTAAGAAATTTAAGTTTTTTTTTAACTTAATTTATAGTTATACAAAACTGGGATTTGCTGGTAACAAAGAGCCCCAGTTTATAATTCCATCGGCAATTGCAATAAAGGAGACTGCTAAAATTGGCGAGCAGACGACTAGAAGGTTAGGTAAAGGTGTAGAAGATTTAGATTTTTTTATTGGTGATGAGGCTTTCGATGCTACAGGATATGCAGTCAAGGTAGGTTTATATTGAGACATATATTATGACATAGCCACAATTTTAATATTATTTCAATGCAATCAACATGAACTATAACTGGGACGGCCTGAAATACAGTTAATCGGGTAGTCCTATAATCAAATAAGTGTATTGCTAGCTTTATAGCAAGATTTAATTGTAGTATCCTGTCCGTCATGGATTGGTAGAGGATTGGGACTTGATGGAGAGGTTTTTAGAGCAATGTATCTTTAAGTACCTGCGTGCTGAACCAGAAGATCATTATTTTTTATTAACCGAACCTCCACTAAATACTCCCGAGAATAGAGAGTATACTGCCGAAATTATGTTTGAAAGTTTTAATGTTCCTGGATTGTATATAGCTGTTCAGGTAAGTGTATCTCCTACAAAACTACTATTTGTGCTTTATTGAATGGAGTATTTTTAGGCAGTATTAGCATTAGCTGCCAGTTGGACGAGTAGAAGTCACGAGGATAGGACTCTTACTGGTATTGTTATAGACAGTGGAGATGGTGTTACACACGTAATTCCTGTAGTAAGTAATAATATACAGGGTGTTTCAAAAAACATTTGCCATCTCTCGTAGGGAGGTTCCTGAAGTAAAAATAAGATTTATTTTTCATATCAACATAGGCCCGATTCTGCTTTATTTCGTAGCTACAGGGTGTTAAATTTTTAATAATCTTTCGATTTATTATAATTTTTTTCCAAGTACTTTTAGTGATTTAAATGAAATGTTGAGGGTAAAAGTTACTATAAGTGCTACATATTTTAATGCTAAAAAAGTGTCGATAAATTCATCAGAGACGTGCATATGGGTTATCACTGAAATATTTTTCAAAAAAAAAACGTGCGCCACTGACTTTTCTTTTGATATCAAAATTGCGTAGGCCCTTTAATGCCAATTAAAAGTTATCTCACAACCAAACCAAACCAAACCAAACCAAAAATAAATCTGAGAGATGGCACATGTTTTTTTAAACATCCTGTATACTTCAAATATGAGCAATTATTACAATAACATAATAATAATGGCATCCCTAATAGGTAATAATGTGTTTTTAACGAGTCAATCAACATTAGTGTTGTGCACAAAAGTCTTGCAAGACCAAGATTCTTGTAAGAAATACAAGACAAGACTTTCAAAATTTTTTCTCTTGAATTTCAAGACAAGACAAGACTTTAATATGCAAGAAATTTCAAGTCTTGCAAGATTCCTGGAAAGTTAGAAATGATACATTTTTTTAAGTGATAATTAGGTCTTTGCGCAAGTTATGCCGGGTTTATAGAACATTTAGATAGTCGTAATCACAATCATAGTCATAATCATAAATGATGATAAATCAAAAAAAAAAAAAATATGAAAAAAATCCTGAACTGACGGACTAAAATATAATTATTTTGATGCGTTTTTAGGCTGAGGGATATGTCATCGGAAGTTGTATAAAGCACATCCCTATCGCAGGTCGCAATATAACTTATTTCATTCAGTCGCTTCTGAGGGAGCGGGAAATCGGTAAGTTCTATCTGCAACTAGGGACATCCAAAAATATCGATATTTTCAAAGTATCGATATTCAATTTTAGATATCGGATAATAAATAGCTTATATAAATTAATCATAATTTGATTTATTTGAGGCTTTTTAAAAACGGATTGAATTTTTTTCTCTCATCATTATACCGGGTGTTTTTCAAAAGTGGCTCACCCCTATAACTTTTTTATTTTTCCTAATAATAAAACGAAATTTGGTATACAACATAAATCGAGATTGATTGACGTATTCAGTTACTTTCGGTCACTTCCTGTTTTACCAGAAATGATTACAACATTTGATTTTTAAGTACCCTCGGTATTTTTTTACTTTATATTAAGGGTGTATTCCGTTGCTTACCTTGGTTATGGTTTTATGTTCCGTTTCTATCTTTGAATAAGAAGACTAAGGAAGGAGCATAATGCTATCCATGTATTCATGCATGGTGGGCGGAAAAAGCTCTGTAGGGTGGGGATCCTTGACAGTTCTGTTTGACGATTCATTTGACACATTTGAATTTGATTTGAAATTTTGTGGATGTGTCAGTCTTTACGGAACTTATTTTATGTTATTTATTATTTATTCTACTACTGATAGTTGTATAAAGGTAGTAAATCTAGATGGAAATTGTGGCAGAACTTAAATTAACAGTGACATTATCGCGATTTATCGAAAAAGACTCTAAAATAGTTGGTTGTGTAGCGTGCGGTAGATCTCGGCAAAAATTGAGTGAAATAATGGAACAACTTTTCGCTAGTAAGTGACTATATAATATACATACGTGTAGTTCATTTATGAAATTCACTTAAATTAACTAAATTATATATTTTCTTACATTTTACCTTTTATTTACTACTTATCAAAGATCAGATGTCAAAGAATTTTGATACGTTAATTTGACTTACCTGCTTCAGTAGCGTATCGGATGTTTGTGTTAATAAATACTTATTATAACTTATCTAATTTTATTAGACTTATATATTTTTATAACAATTTTAATAACTACCAACATTTATTCACAACGTAAAATAAAATAACAAATTATTGAGTCTACCCTACATCATAGTTTTACATTTTTTAAATAAAATTAGAACGGCACTGATAAACCGGAATTTAAGTCGGCCATATTTGAGGCCCATCGCGGTGCACCTAAGATTTTTGATATGCTCCTTCCTTAGTCTTCTTATTCAAAGGTTTCTATCGGTTTCCTGAAAGTTTTCTTATTACGGAACACGATTCTTGAAAAATTCGGTTATAACTGACACATGACTGTCACCAAACTAACCAGCGCGAGAAGGCTGCAGTGGGATTCTGTAAGCTCTTTAGCAAGAAATTTCCTGTCCAGCCTATGCTATTTGTATACGATTGATGAGTTACCATAGAGAAAATATGTTTACAGAATTACTAGCCTGGTTTTTCTGGTTTTGTTTGTCAATCAATGTCATTTATGTGAGAGAAAATCAAGCAAATATTGAAAGTTCGAATGAGATTCTCATTTAATTTCTAAAATTTGTTATATTATTTTGTATTTACATCCAAAAGCAATGGAGGTAGGCAATAAAGGTAAATAAATTTCATTAACTAAATAGAATGACTTTTTAGGACCATTTAAACTTATCATGCAGCCATTGTTTCTTAAAGTCAGAAACATTTAAAGAAAACATGAAAAACAAGGCAAGTAATTGTGAATGTTTTGTAAGCTATAAAAATACAAATATTGATTAGATTTGTTTATTTTTTATTGATATGTTTAAATATTGGACTTGCAAATCTTCATTTGAGCTGTCTAACGAGTTTAACAGTTTATTAATAAAATACTTTTCAATATTAAACTCCATTGAAAAGAAGAAGCAAACGTAAAAGCACAGAATAGGTACATTAAAAATGCATAAAAGATAAATTTTATAATAAAGGTATTGAAATTTAGAAAACGTCAACATTTGACATTTCCAGTATTTTCCCAAACCGTTCCGTATCAAACCGATGTTTTTCAGGAACCGCTCTTTACCGTAGTTTACCGGTCTGGTTCGCCTGGTTTTGCAACTGAATACAGCCTTAGTGATTTCCGGTGAAACAAGAAGTGACCGAAACTAACTGAATACGTCAGTCAATTCCAATTTATGTCATATACAAACATACCAAATCTCGTTTTATTATCTGGAAAAATAAAAAAGTATAGTAGTATGTTACGATAATTTCAAAATTACAAATTAAAATACGTTTTTTATATCGTTTCAAGTTTAATTAATAGCGAATATCGATATTACGATCTATCGATATATTCGGACATCCCTAATGGATACCTAATTTGTTTTTAACGAATAACATTTAGGTATTCCACCGGAACAGTCGCTTGAAACGGCCAAAGCCATCAAAGAGAAATACTGTTACATCTGTCCGGACATAGCGAAGGAATTTGCCAAATACGACTCAGACCCCGCCAAATGGATGAAAAAATTTGACGGCGTGAACTCGGTGACCAAACAAAATTTTTCAGTCGATATCGGCTATGAAAGGTATAGTTCATATCAAACACAGATTATAAACTTCGTTTTTTCTTTATTGTTTTTCGTGGTTCCAATTTTCGGAATCGGGCACTAGTTAGGTTACTAGTTTGCGCACATAGCACGCCCACTTATGTCTTCTAAAATTGGGCACAGCGCCTGACCGGCACAGTTATTAGAGAGATATCGGAAAACCGAATAGCGTCATGCAGTATTTACGCGTACCTTATCATGGTTACGATATGTGCGAGTCAATTTTTAACGCAACACCTGCTATATAATAACGTTACCGCCTGACGTAATTTGAGGATCAATTACACTAAGCGCTATTTCTAAATAACGTTTAAAAATTGCTTAAACGGGCATGTGCGGGTATTTGACAACCGGGGCCGGCCGGCGAGATCTTTTATTTTAGGTTATGTTTGAATTGTTTTGAATTATTACTTTAGTTTTATTAGGTAATTTGCTATTTAAGTGGCTAGGATTAGTTTTAATGAAATAAATATGGCCCAAAATATGGATTCCACCTCTTCCAATATTAAAGAACATATAAAGAGGCTTAGGTTTACAGCAAATGATGAGTTAGCCTTTCTAAGAGAATTTGTTGCTTGTTGCCCTAATATAGGAACTATCGGAAACAAGAAATAGCCATCTTATCTGATAGTCAAGCAGCGTTAAAGGCGATCAACTCAGTATCAATCAATTTGAAATTGGTCAAAGAATGCATAGAGAAGCTGAATAAATTAGGCAAAGAAAACAAAGTCCTCCTACACTGGGTGCCTGCTCACCAAGGGATAGAAGGCAATGAAAAAGCAAATAATCTAGCTAGGAAAGGGCGAACACTCCACTAACTGGACCAGAACCGTTCTGCTTTCCAAGTGGTAACCAACTCAAGGCGGAACTCAAGAAACATGGAAGATTCCATCCGCAACCTGGAATGGAAATCTTGCAATGGTCTAAGACACTCGAAGAAGTTTCTGAGGGCTTATGATCAAGAAAAATCACAGATCTTTCTGAGTAAGAACAATCTTCGGATTGTCACGGGGTTTTTAACAGGACACTGTCTCCTCAATGGACACCTCAGTAGATTGAAACTAAGAAGAAACGGCGAATGCAGATTCTGTGGGAAAGATGGGGAAACACCAGTACACCTCATCACTGAGTGCGCCGAGACGACAACCATTCGTGCCATGAATTTTGGTACGACTGATATTGGAGATGGAGAACTACCCTCTATAAAACCGTCCCAGATACTGGCTTTTGTCAAAGCCCTGGGACTGTATGATGAGTTATGATTCAAGAAAGGGGGACACAATGGATCTGTAAGGTCGAAGTGATTAACCCCCCTCCCACTCATTCTAAATTCTAAAAATTCTTGTTGCCCTAAACCCACTGGCAGACGTTGAACAATAAACCACTGGAAATAAGCACTTTAGCCCTTTAGTTTTAAAATACCTAGTAAACAAAACAATTTCAAAGTTTTAAATTCAAAGTTAGGTTAAGTTTAAATAGCGGACGCGACGCGAACAGAATTCTTTCCGATCCGATAACTATAAATGAAGAGAGTTAATACCACCTCATGTAAAGGAAATGACACCTGGCCTTATTAACGTCCATGCCCGCTATTCGGTTTAGCGATATCTCTCTATTACGCTGTTTATTGTAATTTTACGCGAGTTTATTTTTGCGCACAGGAAATTTTACTCGTTTGCACATCGTCATAGAAAACAATTTTCGTACCACGAATTAGGAATAAGATTTTTATCTGTATACATATACAGTACGTCTCTCCGTTCTGTAGCTACGGGGTATCCGTGAGAGGGGGGAAACGATATTCTCTCGATGTTTTTCGTAAAAAATTAGACGACGCGTCCCATCAATAAAAATTCGACAAATTTGCAAGTAGCCAATAAAATGAGTGGGCGGAGCGATTTGCGGTGACGTACTCCGACGTATAAAATATATTGCTGTTTATTTAATGTTTTTTGCCCGCATTCCTTTCATAGACACAGATCCAGCCGACGTACTGTAGTATACCTAATCTGTGATATCAAATAAACTTTTAGTCACGTGATTAAGCTCGACCGGCACAGCGTTGCCCACTTTTACATATTTTCTTTTAATCAAAATATTTTGGGAAACAAAAATAGTTTAATTATAAATATACGAACAGTTATTATTTACATCGACAAAACTCACCTTCTTAACAGCACTTAAGGGACATAAAGGGCCATTACTACCACCTTTCCCTTCAAAATGTTCTAATAAGTTGCGATGAGTTTTTTACGGCTGTTAAGCTATCTTGTACACTTCGCACTAAAAGAGGTTCTACAAAGAACAATGTTCGACTGCAAGCTGTGCTAGTAAAAATTTTTAAGCTTAAACTGATCACAACACAATTCATTTAAACCAAAAATCGTAATACAAAACTAAAGTGTCAAAACAAATGGCAATGTCAGGAAATAAATAAAAAAATGGCAACTAGTATAGCTACCAGTGGCGGCTCGTGGTTATTATTGTAGGAAGGTCAATATCTAAAAATATTGCGTCGATTTTTTTTAAGACGCGACCAAATTTAAATGGTTTCTTACAAGGTACTTGTACGTTTAGTCAAAGGAAAATAAATCTAAAAATAAATACAAATTATGTTAAAATGAAACCTACCCTTACATTTTTAAACAGGTGGTCTAGTGCCCTTTCACTAAAAATCCAGTCAATGTTCTTTACACAGATTTTCTATGGTAGGATTTAAAAGACACTTAAATAATAATGTCACAAAAATATAAATACATATGTATATACATATGTCATAGTCACATAGTGTATTCCGTCTTTTCGTGAAGATCCTAGTCACTTCATGAAGCGTCGGTTAGGTTAGCAGGCTAGTTATGTTGTTAGGTTAGTTTTTTTCATTAAGTGACTAGGCTCTTCATGAAACGACGGAATACACTATGAGACTACGACATATACATATTATACACATTTCTAAAAGTTTTATTTTACATTTATTTTATATTTTAAGTCAATTCTTTCTCTAAAGGTTTTTCGAAATTTAAGCAATTGTTTTCTTTTACCGCACGATTTTACAAACTAAACACCATATGTTGTCTATTTGAAAATATCTATTCCAGAATTAGTCAACAAGAGTTCATCATTTATCCAGAACCAGAAAATTATGATAAATAAATAAAAATATTATTACCTGCACAAATTTCGCGCTACATCTCAAACCCTCGGCTACGACAACTAAAACTAATTTTTTTTTCGGTATTAAAAATTTAAATATTGATTTACCGTAAAATGGGGTGAATAGAAACAAAATTTCTGAAAAAAATCAAATCACGATTAAAAATATTCAAAGTAAAAAGAGTCGACATATCTAATTTGTCTATCATTGGTAATACACAATAAAATGTAAAAACTATATTTTTATCTGTGGCAGCACTGTTTCTGTCAATCAGCTGATCAATAAATGTGAGATCGATTTATCACCTATTTTGTATGGCGCGAAAACTTTATAAATAAAATATTTATTTTTAAAGTAATACTTAACCTGGCACATGTAAGTTGTTATATTATATGTATTGTTAATTATTGCTAAACCTACTTAAATATGTAATAATTATCTGTTTCTAATCACCTTGTTGGAAATAGAATAGATAAAAACCTTAACGTCAATGTGTGTTTCTATTCTCCCGAATAGCAGGTGAATAGAAACACAAAAGTTATTTTTATTTAATATTTATATGCATATTTTTCAAAAATCAAATTATATGTATACGCAAAGAACAAACAAAGACCCATGTTTTAAAATATTCGGGAACATAATACCACATTTTTATCAACCGGTATATCGCTAATAGCCTACGAAACTGTTTCTATTCACCCCATTTTACGGTATATTGAATAAACCAAACATTATACGCGATACGCAATAAACGATACAAAAACCTACATAGGTTGTTTTATAATTTGAGTTTTTATAAACACCCAAACTGCCCAAACGGCGAAATTTTTCCAGCAATATGACTGAAATCCTGTAAAATATTTATATAGAAATAATGCACTAGATATTTCTTAATCAACTATACTGATTCTCAACTAATAAACAATTACAATAATAATACGCTGGGGGGGGGGGTTTCTAGACAAAGACAAAAACCGCCACTTTTTATATCGTCTGTCAGTAAACTACTAAATACAAGTGTAACTTTCCTACCTTAGAAATCCTTTTATGAATGACGCGGTCAATGGCTAATATAAAGTACAGTGGTGGCCAAAAGTATGGAAACTTTTTACTTTTTAAAATATCACAGAAAATATTGCTATGCTTAAACTCTCAGGAATGTAAATGAACAGCTTATCAGCAAATAAAAGTATTCCAAAAATTATACAGCGAAAAAAATCTGTTTAGCAGTTTTTGTAGGAGAACAATAGATTTCTTGTGGCCAAAAGTATGGAAACCATAAATAAATACATTAAAATTATTTAGTTTAAGCTGATAAACGGTACGACTTACTTCAGATAAATATAAACATCATGCCCAAGTCTAAATATTTCTCTACGGATTTAAAAAATAAAATAGTTGAATTATACAAGAGCGGTTATAAACAAATTCAAATAAGTAAAAATTTAAACATTTTAAGAAGCACCGTTTCGAAAATAATTCGTAAATTTAATAAAACAGGGAACGTTTCAACAGCTTTTAAGTCAGGAAGACCAAGAAAGTTGTGCAACAGGACAATGAAAGTAATGAAGAGAATATCAATGGGAGATCCAAGAAAAACATCCACAGACATTTCTCGAGAAATGGGTGAAAGGGAAATATCGGTGTCTGCACGCACGGTGAGAAGAAGGTTGGATGACATGGGACTTTTTGGAAGAGTTGCGGTGAAGAAACCACTAATATCAAAGAAAAATAGGATGGCCCGCTTTAAATTTGTTCAAGATCATCTCACCTGGTCTTATCAGAAATGGAATACTGTACTGTTTAGCGACGAAAGCAAGTTTCAACTGTTTGGTAGTGACGCGAGACGTTATGTCCGAAGACCAAAAGGTACACGGTACAGCCATAAGTACCAGATGCCCACAGTAAAACATGGGGGTGTTTTTCTCGCTCAGGTGTTGGTGCTCTTGTTAAAATTGATGGGATAATGGACCGTTTTTTGTACAAAGACATATTGGAGAATAATATGCTGCCTCATGCTGCTGAAGAAATGCCACTCAGATGGTTGTTCCAGCAAGACAATGATCCCAAGCACAAATCTCGGTTTGTTCAAAATTGGTTAAATGAACATAATGTTCCACTAATGGATTGGCCCTCACAGTCTCCGGATCTTAACCCCATAGAAAATTTATGGGACCATTTGGATAGCAAAATTCGAAGCCATTCTATTTCAAATAAAAATGAATTATGGGAAGTGCTAAAAACTGAATGGGCGGCCATTTCCAGTAAAGATTGTACGATATTGATCGATTCGATGCCACGAAGATGTAGAGAAGTAATTAATTCAAAGGGATATTCCACTAAATATTAGTAATTTTTATATTATCTTGAATTTTAATAAACATTCTTCTTAAGTTTCCATACTTTTGACCAAGAAAATATTCATAATTTTTTATATATTTTTTGATAGCTGTAATTTTTTATTTAAATATATTAGGTTTTGTAGGAAATTATTTGTAGGTCACGATTATATAAGTCGTTTTATTTCATATTTTAATTTCTCAGCATATAAATGACAAATTAAAAAAGTTTCCATACTTTTGGCCACCACTGTATATCTATCGCACCTTAACCAATTATATTTTCTATACGTAGTATACCGTACCTTGTTGGCGTCACGAGCCGCGGCACTTGGAGTTTAATACGTGTAAAACATAGCGGGAACGAAGGACAAAATGAAATTTTGATCGGCAGTAGAGAAAGTGGGTAAAATAAAATGTTTTCAAGCGAAAATTGGATAAATTGGGAATAGTAGGATGAAAAGGTATTTTAGGATGAAAAAAAGTGATTTACAAAAGTAGTATAATTTAAACAAGTTTTTCTAATTTTCTCATTTGACGGTTAGTTAGTTTTTCTAATTTTCTCATGGTTAAGCCGCCACTTAAATCGCCAGCGGGAAATTTAAATGCCGGTTACTCAGCCCGGCGCCGAATATGTCCATGGTTGGCAACAATGAATTTAAAAATCGCGCCCTCGATTACGTAACTAAAAGCCTCTACCGTGCCCTTGTACGGTAAACGCTACCCATGATTGTAGAACTTGTTAATCATTCTTAATCTCTTACTGGTTTTGACGGAATGATTTTTGTCTGTAGGTTCCTAGGACCGGAGATATTCTTCCACCCGGAATTTTCGAATCCCGACTTCAACATTCCCCTGTCTCAGATCGTCGACGACGTCATTCAGAACTGTCCCATCGACGTGAGGAGGCCGCTCTACAATAACATCGTGCTTTCCGGCGGATCCACGATGTTCAAAGACTTCGGCCGACGCTTACAGAGGGATATTAAGAAAACGGTCGACGCCAGACTGAAACAGAGCGAAGATTTGGGAGGAGGACGTTTGAAAGTAATTATCAACCCATTTTATTACCTTTGTGGTAGATTGTAGACTGTATGGGAGGGGGAGTTAATCACCACGACCTATCGATCTATTGTGTCCCCCTTTCTTGAGTTATAACTCATCATACAATCTCAGTGCTTTGAGAAAAGCCAGTCTGAGACGGTTTTACGGTTGTTCATTGCAAAAAAAAACTACCAGTTATGAAAACAACAGTCGTTAGTTTTTGTTGTAGAGTTGTAACTGTTATAGGTTGCAGAAATAGCGATTTTATCTCTTTAATTTGTTTTGCTGCTTATTCTTATTGTTAAAATGATAAAAATAGAAATATAGATGAGGCATCAGCTGAATATTTATTTTATTAAGTTCATTTTGTATCTAAATAAAAATAAAAGTTTGAAGCTATAAAATTTGCTTCATTAATAGTTTTCATGCAATTATTAATTTTGGCTTACTAACTCTACAAATAAATTCATAAAGGAAAACGGCCTTTTCCACATTTTTTTAGTAACCAACATTTATTATACGTAAACTTAACAAATCATTATTAAAATATACTCATTTTTATATAACTAAAAAGTAAATAACAAAAACCTGTTAATTTTCAGTAGCAGTAACAGTTCAAACTATTATTTATAAGTAGCAGTTCTGTCTACTTTTACTAAAAATGGGTTATTTACAATCTGATATAACGTGTTTTTCTTCCAAAAAATTACAGGTATAAAAATAAAAGTGAGTTTCGTTTTGAAAGTTTAGCAATGGAATTAATAAATAACAGAAACCTGTCATTTTAAGCTGTAATTTTTCAATAACACTAACAGTTCCAAAACTTATTTATCAATAACAGTTTTAACCACCTCTACTATAGACAAGTTATTTACAATCTGATATTTATTTTAAATTTTTATTTAGAAATAACGTTTGAAACGGTTATTTCTTTCAAAGAATTACAGGTATAGAAATATGCGCTGAGAGCGAGAAATACTCGTTACCTTTTGCCTGTTTAACAATAAAATTAATAAAGAACAGAAACCGGTTATTTTTCAATAACAGTGACAAGTTCCAACTGTTATTTAGAAGTAACAGTTCTGTCCATCTCTACTAGAGCCGGATTATTTAAAATTTAATATTTTATTTTATTTACATAACAGATTCAATTGTTATTTAGAAATACACGATATGAATTAAAAGTCGTACTACCGGTTGCATATATTCCCTTTTTTACTAAACTGTGTTTTGTTACAGCCTAAACCAATCGATGTCCAAGTAGTCTCTCATCATATGCAAAGGTATGCCGTGTGGTTTGGAGGAAGTATGTGGGGTTCGACCGTAAGTCTACTTTGTTACTGAATTTGAACGTGCAATAACTGTGATTATTTTAGCCCGAATTCTATCCGATGTGTCACACGAAAGAGGCCTACGAAGAATACGGCCCGAGCATCTGCAGGCACAATCCAGTGTTCGGAACGATGACATAAGATCGACTTAAATTTGTATTATATTTACGTTTCTCCAAGTTTTATATATATTGTAAGAATTTAAACGAGTTCGAGAATTAAAAGAAAGACCGTTTATGATTTTTTATAGGTGTTTTAAAATGATCCTATAAGCTTGGTGCATTCTCCGCCGGTGCCGCCACCACCGGAGAATATCGTAAACAACTAGTATATATGTTACAGTAAAAGTTGGAAATCAGTGATTGTTAACAATTACTAGTAAAAGCTTACATTCACTGATTTGCTAAGACTATAAAATCTATACTAATGTATAAAATCCTTAAGTGACTGACATACTGATTAATCACGATCCTGCTCAAACCACTCAACGTAAGAAGTTCAATTTTGGCATACAGGTTGATTCTAAGGTGTAGAGGTTCGATAAGAAGGGATTTTTCGAAATTCCAGTTCCAAGAAACATGGGTGAAACCACCCATTGTATCAAATATTACAATATTTTTAATTTAAAAAACGGTCAAGTTTCCCAAAAACAGGCTTAAACACGTATATTTTATTTTGTTTTTTTACATATTTTAAGATTTTTTAAAAATGTATACAGAGTGTGTCGAAAAATCTGGCCATTGATTAATCACGATCCTGCTTAAAGCGCTTGACGTAAAAAGCTGATTTTTGGAAAACAGATTGACTTTAGGGTGTAGAGGTTCGATAAGAAGGGATTTATCGAAACTCGAATTAAAGGGGGTGAAACTATCCCTCAAATATTAAAATATTTTTATTTAAAAACCGGTGAGTTTTTCGGAAAAACTCTTAAACACGTATATTATTTATTTTTATTTATTTAGAGCGTCATCTGCTTCTAGGTTACGAGCTTCCGTTGCTTCCGTAACCGTTCCGTTCCAGGTTTTTCTAGGTCTACCTCTCTTTCTTCTGCCCTGGGGAGCCCATTGAAAAACTCTTTTTGGCCACCTGTTCTCCGGCATACGCAGAACATGTCCAAACCATTTTAAGCTGGATTTTTCGATTCGATCTAGTACTGTTTCCTCCGATGCATTCATGATACGCCTGACCTCGATGTTTGTCTTTTTTTCCATCCTAGATATACCTGCACTTCTTCTAAGGTAGTCCATTTCAACAACTTGGATTTTGCGCTTCGCGTCTGCACTCAGAGTCCATAGCTCTGAACTATAGCAAAGAACTGACTCCACCAATGTTCTTCCAAGTCTCTTTTTAGTTGTTGCAGTCAAGTTTCGGTCTCACCAGAGGCTATTAAGACATCCAATAACTTGTGTGATCTGAATTCGGGTTTGTATTTCTTCTTTGCCCAAACCCTCGTTGTTGATAGTAGCACCCAGGTATTTAAATTTGTCTACTTGTTGAATCTGGACGTTATCATTAACGAAGACTTCAAAACAAGCGTTGGAATTGACAGCTAAGTATTCCGTCTTCTTTAGACTAACCTGAAGTCCCCATTTGTTGTATTCTTGATAAAGCCTCTTAGTCATGAACTCTAGATCGTATGAGTCCTGCGCAATCACGACCTGATCGTCTGCAAAGCTCAGGGTAAATAGTGTGTTGTCCCCAATGGGTATTCCCATACCTTGACATTTCGTCTTCCGTTCCCTAAGGGCTACTTCGACGTAAGCGTTGAAGATCAGAGGAGATAAGCTGCATCCTTGTCGCAACCCTTTTGTGGTGTTAATTGGATTAGATAGCCTGTGTCCTATCTTAACGTACGATTCATTTTTTATATAGCTCTTTTATTATCTTAAGCAAGGGTCTATCTACTTCTAAGATATTCAAGACCTCCCATATCTTGCTGCGGGGAATAGAGTCGTACGCTTTCTCCAAATCAATAAACGCTAGATGGACTTCTTGATCTACTGCTATCTTTTTTTCCATCACCTGCTGCAGGACAAAAAGGTTATCTGTGCAAGATTTCCCCGGTGTGAATTCGCTTTGGTCTTCCGAGATTTTGTCACTAGTACTGTCCCTGAGCCTACCCTGTAGCACCTTCCCAAAAAGTCTGCTGACCGAACTGTTAATGCTTAGGCCTCTATAACAAGCGGGGTCGTTACGATTTCCCTTTTTAAAGATAGACACTATGTGAGCCACTCGCCATTCTCGGGGTAGTTTACTTTGCAGGCAGCACTGGTTAAATAGCTCTGCCAGACGCCAGCGCAGTCTTTGGGTTCCACACTTTAACAATTCCGCTACAATATTACCAGGACCTGGTGACCGTCCATTTTTCATTCTTTTGAGACTTTGATATACTTCTCTTTCGCTTATCATTAAAGTGCCTGCAAGGTTGTTCTCATCTTCTACTGCTTGTACAGTACGTCTGTCCGTTCTGTAGCTACGGGGTATCCGTGAGAGGGGAAACGATATTCTCTCGATGTTTTTCGTAAAAAATTAGATGACGCGTCCCATCAATAAAAATTCGACAAATTTGCAAGTAGCCAATAAAATGAGTGGGCGGAGCGATTTGCGGCGACGTACTCGTCAAGTCGACGTATAAAATATATTGCTGTTTATTTAAATGTTTTTTGTCCGCATTCCTTTCATAGACACAGATCCAGCAGACGTACTGTAATTCTGGTCGGTTTTCTGTCAGTAATTCTGCATTGTAGTTGCGCCATAGCAAAAAACTAAAATACTTAAATATTATGACAAAAAATCCATAGCGAAAATTTCTGATTTCTACCGTATACAGCGCCGCGGTCGGAATTTTTTAAAATCAACTGAAATGCACCAGGCCTTTACAAAACCAACCGTGAAAAATATGACATTTCCCTATTTATTCTTTATCTAAGAATAAAATACAAGTTTGTTCGATTTAAACTTTATTTTTAAACGTCCACACAATTATAACAATATTATCAACAAATCAAACGAGATACGAAAAATTTCATTATATATTTATATTACAATAAATAAAAAAATAACTTATTTTAATCGAATGTACAACTCAATAGTTTTTAATGTACAGTTTTACTTACATAATAAGGTATATACAATCTGATTTGTACTAATCGAATTAACTTATACGAATCTAGGTCAATGTACATTAGAATTAAATTGAAAAATATAACTAAATAACAAAATGCGATCGACTTAACTCAGTTGGATATGGTGCTGGTACATTAAACATAGAACAGACACATATATACAGGGCGTCACAGGCTGAGCGTGCATTAGAAGTTCATCACTGTTTCACTACGAGATCTATCGATTAAAAATATTTTCAATATGGCGGCACTTTCGGAAATACCGGAAGTTGACAGTAACTTTCTTATTTTAAATGGGTACCCCCATTTTTCATTACATACTTAAATTCTCTGCAAAATTTTATGAATTTTGATATCTAACACTCTATACCTAACATTAACCGTTTCTGAGAAAAAAAAATATTTAAAATTGTTGGCGGAAAAAAACTGCCTGTCAAAAAAGTCGGTATAGCCTAAACGACAAATTTAGTGATTGCCACAGCCACTGTGACATAAAGTGAAGACAATGTGGCTATCTATTTGAAAATTTAAATTGTTCCAATGCCATACAATATTGGCCATAGCTGTCATGGAATTGAGCGATTAAAAAATTATCATAAATAATTTTTTTCAAATGGAAACCCACTTTTTTTTATTTCAGCAGTGAAAAGGTTTTTTAATTCGTTACTTTTTGATTATACATGTTCCTATACCTAAAATAAATAGTTTTTAAGTTATTTAAGATTTAGTTTTAAAGGGTATATTTTTTTGTTCTTTAACCAGTAGCTTATGACTCTAAACGTCGCGCCATCGCCATGTAAAAACTATATATGGCCATGTCATATTGCCATTAGCTATCACTAAAATTCGAGATATATTTTTATAAATACACTTTATAAAGTTTTACCGGCAGTATTTATAATATACGAAATTCAAATAATTAGTTTTTTGGTAGAAGGAAATAAATTGTCTGACGGTTTGACACTTAATGTCAATGGAAGCTAGATAAAATCAAGAAAAAAATTCGCTTTAAAACTAAATCTTAAATAACTTAAAAAAGATTTATTTTAGGTATAGGAACATGTATAATCAAAAACTAATTAATTGAAAAACCTATTCACTAGTGAAATAAAAAAAGTGGGTTACAATTTGAAAAAAATGGTTTATGATAATTTTTTAATCGCTCAATTCCATGACAGCTACGGCTAATATTATATGACATTAGAACAATTTAATCATTGAAATAGATAGCCACATGTCTTCCCTTCATGTCACAGGGACTGTGGTAATCATTAAATGTGTCTATATTAGGCTATACCGATTTTTTTGACAGGCAGTTTTTTTCCTCCAACAATTTTAAATATTTTTTTTTCTGAGAAACCGTTAATGTTAGGTATAGACCGTTTGATATCAAAATTCATAAAATTTTGCGGAGAATTTAAGCATTTAATAAAAAATGGGGGTACCCATTTAAAATAAGAAAGTTGTTGTCAACTTCCGGTATTTCCGGAAGTGCCGCCATATTGAAAGTATTTTTAATCGATAGATCTCGTTGTGAAACAGCGATGTGCGAAAAATCTCCGATCTAGACATTGTAGTTCTCTAGAAACTTCTAATGCACGCTCAGCCTGAGACACCCTGTATATCGCACGAGACGGTCTTCGAAAATAGCAAAGTGGTACGTATCTAACAACAAACGTATATACACGATAGGAATGTACGTAAGTATCGATATTTTAGCAACGACATATCGATATTCAATACGGTATCACATTAATAACATCTCTATCTGAATTACGTTCATGTTCAGATGTGTGCCACGCTTTACGATTTTGTTATTCGAATCATCTAGATCATACATACTTTGTGGATACCGCAACGCCGTAAAATTTGCGTAATAAGAGGTGTTGCCTACCCAACGTGACTTACTAGCCTTTTTCACTTTAGGGTTAATACGGATTATGTACAGGGTGGTCCGAATTGTATTCCCTTCAAGTTTTTCCCCTTCATACTGACATCGAAATCAAATTTCTCTTTTTTTATTGTTTATTTGGAAAAAAATCGAAATAAAAATGAAAATTCTACACCCTGTGTATCCGAAACGAAGTAATTTAGGACATACGTTTATACGAACTTTTTTA